TTAGATACTTAATTTCCAACAAGTATTATATTTACCTTTGCTTGAATTGCTGCTGAAATCTAAGAAGAATATTTACAAACAACTTCTTTGATTATAAATGTTTAAAAAATATGTTTAAGGACTTTATAACAGTTTTATGTAATGAAAGGTTATTCCTATTTATATATACGACATATATAATCTCCTTTGATATCTCATGTTTCTAATTTCTCATGTACAATTTTGTATTTTGGAAATGTATGACTGTTGTCTTTCTTTTTTAAGATTTATTTGACATTGTGATATATATATTAGCCTTTGAATTTGACATTCTTATCTTCATAATGTATTCTTATGAACAAAGCGATTAAACTTATATATAAACATTCAGTTTCTATTTTATTTAAATCGAATTTAATTTTTTATTGAGTTTTTTTAATGAATACTGTCATGAAAAAATAGACATTTTCTATATAAAAAATTTTATTTATTCCTTTTTGCATTAAAAATATAATTAAATCCTTACCTCAATGTAATCTAATTTGAAGGGGGGGGGGTCAAACTTTATTTATAAGTAATTTATCCAATAATTAGACAAAGCCAAAACATTAGACAAAGCCATTGCCTAAAACATAAAATATGGGAACCCTTATATGGTTGCTACAATGTTATGAAGTCATTTTTAACTATAATTACCAACACATTTCAAAATTTGAAACTAAAAAAAAGATTGGCAAAAATCAATAGTCATTGCTAGCCAAACAAGATTCCTTATTCATGTTTGGCAAAATATTTTCTAGCCTCTGATCACTACTAAACTTATCATTTGAAACCATGATAGTCCCTAGCATTTCAGTCGAACTTTCCATCCGCTTTTATTAATTCACATTTTAAAGTTTTTCTGAAAAACTATTATATTACAACTGGAGCTCTTACGTGTTAATTTTGAAATAAAAATATATGATCTTTAAAATTAGTTATTTTCCTCAACTTATAATATTTTTGCTTTATTTTTATAGCTTTTTCATTTTAATTGAAATAAATATCACAATTAAGTTATAAGTTTTATAAAATAATTTAAACATGCAAAATTAGTTTTTCTTTTAAAATCTAAAAACTGAAATACTTAATTCTCAATTTTTATATTTATTTCACTCAGAATCAATCAATCAAATTTTCATTAATCAATCAAATCGAAATTAACTACAGGTTTAAAAAAATTATTATAAAAAAAACCCAGTGATGTTAAAATGGCACAGCATTTTAAGCTTTCTCCACATTTTTACTATTTGTTGATTATACATTGATTTAAATCTGAAATAGTTAGTTGAAGAATAATAGTTAATATAAATAACTTTTCCATGTAGTGTGGAATTATTAAAATAATTCAACCACATTCGTCGGTTTTTAGATTTTTTAAAATAAAAACTTATTAGGATGGACTCTCTTATTCCCACACGAAAAAAGATATTAAGTAATCTATAACATACAAAATATTATTGAATGTGCATACTATTAAATTTTGTAAAAATTAATTTTTAGAAAATTTGACCCTTTATTTCTAATGTTTCCTTTTTATTCTTTCTGTCAAATAAAGTGTCTCCTATTTTTATTCAAAAATGAATTCGTTTTCTCTAATTCCTTTATAAAGATTTATTTGCCACATCTAATGTAAATATTAATTGAATCATTTTTAAAAAAAGATACAAAAAATTAAAATATTGTTTGAAAAATAGATATAAACTCCATCTAAACTAAAAAGGAATAAAGAGTTAAATTCTTTTCATCTTCTGGTAAACAAAATTTGATAGAGTTATACTTTTTTTCATTTTCACTCTCAATTGAATGAAAAAATATGAGTTGTATAGTGATATATGAATAAGAAGACTCCAAAATTCATGCTTTATGATTATAACTATTTATTATTATAAACTATAATTTACATTCATTTATAAAAGAATACTTCATATAAAAACATTATTTTAATGATTAAAAAAATAGCCTTTAATAAGGAATAAGTTATTTCAAAATATAATTTTTTGTAAGATTAATTTGCATATAATCTAATGTTCAATGCAGTTCAACATAAACTAGTAAAGGATTATGCTACATAAAATTTGAAGCTAAAAATAAAGATTCTAAAATGTGACAGTACACTCATATTATTGACATTATCACATGCAAAGATTTAATTAAAATCAGATCTTAAGAAAAAGACTTGTGCGATAAAACAGCATAAAAAGTGAAACATTGCAATTCATTTTATAAAAATGTCAGGTGGCTGGTATATTTTAATAGGTTAAAAAGTATTTCATTATTGAGAGGTTTGACATGACTTTCTAAGTTTTTGACATGAATTTGTTATTCAATCTGGTTGAAAAATATTTCCAGCAGTTTAAGTTAAACAGAAAAGTCCTACACAAAGTGAAAAATTTCATACAAATTATTCCAGATACTAGTTACTCAGAGAGTTATTCATGCACATTACTCCTGGTACTCAGATAGTTATCCATGTATTTTAAGTAATTAAAATGATATAAGTACAGGCAGATAAGTAAAAACTTGGACTAAGTAAAAATTCAATTTTATATCAACCAAATATTTTTAATCAAAACTTATGTTAAATACTGATCCAAGCTTGTATCTAAATACGTGTATGGCCGTCGGTTGAATAATCCATCCTGGTACTCTAACATAAAGAGTTAACGGCACCTAATAATGGTGCACTGAACATTTTCTGGGCTTTTTGAAAGCTCCAGATGCGACTTGGATTTCCTGTTCGGTCCATCTTGGAGACAAGGATGTTTGCCAAGCCTTACAAGACTAAAAATCCTTGTGTAAATAATGGGGGGGGGGATATCAGTTGCTGACATGTTTAATGCTCTGCATTGTTTTACTTCTACACAATATATTTTCTGCTAAACTAAGTGTAGTAGATTGCTTTAAATAATCTACTTAAATTATTCTATCAAGAAATATTAATTTGAAATTTTTATTAAAAGTCAGTAATTTTTATATAATTCAAGATCAAAATAGTATCTTTACAGCTCAATGTATGTTTTAATTTAAAAAAAAAAAATTCTTTTGCTATTTTCTTCCTTTCTATAAGTGAAACAAATTTCATATATCATATTTATATTAATATGTTTTAAATAAACTTTAATATTTCGATAACTTTCTTTTCATTTATTCATAAATAAATAAAATTGTTTTGAATTATTTTTCCAAAAAGATATTATAGTATGATATATTATTTTCATACACTGTTATGCATTTTTAAAAAAGTATTGAATTCTGGTGCAGAATCCAAGCTAAATAGATTAAAATAAGAAATAGTTGCTCAAAAAGCATGTTTCAAATTTTAATTTTAAAAAAACTCACTGGTTATATTAAAATAAGTTGCAAGAGAAAATTATATGCAATTTTTCTTTCTTTCTTTTTAAAAAAATTGCTCCATATTATTAATATTTCCATAACTAACATTTTATTCCAATGTATATTCTTGAATCAAACTTTAAAAAAAAAATATTACAAAATGTATTTCAAGAACGTTTTGAAAAAGAGGGATAAGTAGTTTTATATAAACTAAATAGAACCTACTAACTTAGTTTAAAAGATTGTTCCTCATAAAAATGTTGCAGCATTTCATTTTTTTTCTTTTTTGTACTGTTGGCTATCCATAAATATACAGTATCTAAAAAAGCCTCACGTTTCTATTTTTTATTTTATACAATCAATTTATGATTTTAACATTTGAATATCAGAACAACAGATTCATGTCCAGAAACCTCTCCTCTTTTCACCCTTTCAGTTGTATGTAAAGGTATTTCATTTTAACCTTCCTCAATACTTCTCAAAATTTCCAGAGAGAGCTTATTTAAGCTACTATGTTTAATGCAGTTTCATAAAACTTTTAAAATTTTTAAAATTCAAGACAGAAACTAGACAATCGATAAGCTGATGCTGCAAAGATTCTGCAAAACGAAAGAAAGCTAAAGGACGTTTCGATTGTGAATATTTTGTAGTTTAAATGAGATAAAAATGTGTTTTCAGTTTCACACTCCTGACTTTTTTAAAATGCAGACATGAGTTTTGGGGTTAGTATTAAAAAACTTGTCTAACTTTAATTTTACTAATTTGAATTATTTTTATTTTTAACTTAATGGTAAATTGTTACAGCTTTTCTATATGCCAGTGCATAGCGTGTATTAAATTTACTTAAAAAAAGAAGAGGAAATTTACAGAGAAAAGAGAGGAATTTAAATTTAGACGCTGTTTATATAAGCCAAAGTTACGCAAATAATCTTCCATCTCATTTAAAATAAGTTTGAACTATTTAGGCTTGTTCTTTGCCCTTTAAAACAACAGTATTTATGGCATATCTTTATTAGATATTTTAAGTAAATATGAGTGCCGATTCTGTTGATGTAAAAATATTCTGAATGGTAAGCAATAAAAAAAAAGACTTTTCAAAATTTTGAGCATTTTCAAAATATCCATCTGTAATTTTACTGGGATAAGTACTAAGCTTTCAAACAGGTGTCTTCACTAGGTCATATTTATATTAACCCTCCGTTTAGGATTTCTATTAATGAAAACACAAGTTAAATCTACAATTACTGTTAGTCAATATGTGTTGCATTGATAGTTTATTGATAGGATAAAAATAAAATGATCTTAAAAAGTGTGACTTTTTTTGATACTGACCACACATTAATACTCTAAAAATATTTTCCCTGAGAAAAAAGATAATAATAATCTAGCCCAATATAAATAAAATAAAAATATAATTCTTTAATATCATGTTTGTAGATGAAAACATTTAGAATATGGTAAGAAAATAGTAATTAAAATTATTTTAATATTAAGTATGAGCTGTGTTTAGATACTGCTTATATTGAAAAAATGTTGTTACTAATGAGCCCTGGGTAAAAAATGCTTACCAGCCATTCATTTTTTTTTTTTTTTTTTTTTTTTTTTTTTTTTTTTTTTTTTTNTTTTTTTTTTTTTTTTTGTGCGTGTGTGAATAAAGTCAGAAAAGTGAGTATTTTGTTTGACAAGAGAGCACCACAAGGGTGAAAGTAGGTCTTAGTTAAGAATCCCATGGATAGATGACAGCACCACTCATTTGTGAGGCAACTTACTACATTAAGACATAAATCTGAAGAGGAATGAAATTTTCACCAGATCTCTGTACTTATGGTACTGCTCAGTGATCGACCACAGGACTTTTCATTCCTCCTATTTTACGAGCACATAGTATATCACATGTATTAGGTGAGCATTAGAAGAGTCAAGGATTGAACCCCAGTCCCTCCAAACCAGAGTCTGATTTTTTAATCACTCGCCTTCAGTCATGATAAATCATAATGATTTTTTGAAAGCCATACTTTGTTTTTTAAGCAAATGGAACCAAAATTTCAAATTAACTTTGCACCTTTGTATTTTTAAAGTAGTTACAATAATATTAAAATAAAACACAAGGTTTATTAATTCCCAAATTATATTACACTGTTTGTCATACAAGTGATTTTTCTACTAATTTTAACTGGTGAATTTCATATGATTATTTTGCTTTCTCTATAAGCAAATCTTTGATTTGGCACATTAGAAGAGATTTTGTTTCTTTCTCATTTATTTAGAGAAAAAGTAAATTTTGTATATTTGATACTTATATATCTGTTTCAACTAGATCATAAATATAAATTGAAAGAGAGTACTTTGTTGTCTGTGAGATGCTTTGCTGAATTATTACTGTTGAAGTGATAATTCTTGCTTATTGTAAAGCGTAATTTATTTATTTTTTAAAAAGAGAAGTTACTGTATGTAAAAATGCGAAAAATCAATTTAAAAAAAATTAACTACTGATTTTGATGCCTAAATGAATAAATAATACTACCTCAGAAGTGCTAATTGGAAGAAAAATAAAGTGTGTACTTTTTCCACTTCAGGTGAAACACCAATGATGTGTAAAAATATATATATCTTGTCTGCATATTTAGAAAGAATGAAGAATAACAACACCAATATGAAATTAAGAGATTCCAAAATGGCAAGAAAGTGACAATGTAGAAATAAATTCAGATCAAATAGCTCCTAAAAGTGTATAAGATAATGCAAGTGTAAAAAAGTGATCATATAAATATGTTGTATAATCTATTGGTTAAGCCATATTGGTTTAAATGGCAATCAAATGCAAACATGATATTCCCTATTTAAAAACAATAAAAAATAAAAATAATATGCACATAACAACAAAAAAACATAACCCTGAGAACACAAAACACTTACTTAAGATACATGTTAAAGATTTCAATAAATAAAAAAAATTTCAAGCAATGTAAAAGATAATATGATAATACATTTACAATTAGGTAATATTAAGTAACTTTCAAGCACTAAAACTCATTTGCAAATTAAATCATAGTAAATATCATTTAAAAACAGAAAATAACAACAACAAAATTATTTTGATGAATAAATTCCAGATGATAATAGTAACAAATCGATACCAAAAGTCATGTAAAAATAAATAAATAAACATTTATTTTGATAACTGTCAAAAAAGATCTGTCAATAATTTAAAACTTATTATTCTGCAATTGGCCTTGTACAATGCACCAGATCAACTGTTGTTTAACTGGCATGTAAAATAAATAAATAATTTAAGATGTTAGCAATCACGGTTCTTAATTGATAACATCAATTAAAATAGAGAATTGAAAATTATTTCTTTTTCAGCTTGTTTCAATCACAAACCCTAATTGTTAGCATTATATGCAAAAATAAAATTGAGAAAAATTTTGTTAGACTTCCTTACTGATTGCTTTTCCCAACTGATTGATACCTTAAAAAAAAAATTTCAAAAAAAGACAAGCAGTCAATTTGAAACTCATTAAATGTTAGATATTTTCAGGTGAAACTGATATCTCACTAGCAAGCAAAAAATTGAAATAATTTTCAATATGTTGAAAATCATTGTTTTTAATTGGTAACAGCAGATCAAAAAGATAATTAAAAATGACTTTTTTTTTTCAACTGCTATCAAAATTCCTATTTGTTAACATAATGTTCAATAATAAAATGGAGAATAATTTTTTTAGATTTCATTAATTAAGCTTTTTTAATTTGATTAAATTTTATATTCAATTGGTACCTTTAAAAAAAAGATAAACAGTAAATTTAAAACTTATAAAATGTTAGACATTTGCAGTTACAACTGATGTCTTACTTGCAAGAAGAAAGAAAAAAATATCTTTTTTCAATGTTAACAGTCATGGTTCTTAATTGATAAGAACAAGTAAAATGGAGAATTAAAAATTATTTCTTTTTCAATTGTTATCACAATTCCTAAATGTTGACATTATGTACAAAAATAAAATTGAGAATAATTTTATATCATAGTTCATTAATAGTGAAGGAAAATAAATGCACATAATAACAATAGAAATGCATTAATCACTTCAAAACGTAGTTCAGTTCCGACATTGCTTTTAGATTTGTCGACACGTGTAGTTCCATATTTCTTAGAGGACATAACATCTGTAAATAAAGATAAAATGTTGTAATGTAAATTAATGTTGTATAATTTCTAACATTTCAACAAAAAAAAATTTATAATTACGTGTCTCAAAAATTACATTGAATTTTAAAATGCAATTAAGGAGATGGAAATAGAAAATCAGGGTTTGTTACACATTGCTTAGGAACTTATACTAACAAAGTTTCAAAATAAATTACAAAGTTGGTCAACAAATGATACTGCTAGTTAAGGAAAAACTATTGGCCATTGTTTAATAGTAGTACAAGTACAAGTTAAGTTCATGTTTTTAAACAAAATAGCAAGTTTGAGTCTTAATATTATTTTAGCATTCTTTTCAGTTTGGTTATCAGGTTTTCATTGTGCTTTGAATAATCCTTCTGCAGTGGCTTATTTTTGCTTATCAGAGAGCTCGGATTACTATTTAGGTCAAGGTCTTTGTTCCCTCTATAGCCACACTGTTTCCCTTTTTTTCTGGGTCATTATCCAGTTCTTAAAATCTAGGCACTTTTTAATGATATTACTGAAACTAAAGGGTGGAACCATGAATCTACATCTATGGACATTTGACTAACTGAAACCAATGCATAAAAAATGATCTTGTAAAATCAATGAATAATAATTAGTATTAATTAGAAGCTACATAATCATACACAAAACTGCAAGTCACACATTTATAAAATTCAAAACTATTTAAATTTTATTTTATCCCCAATTTTTGCTGCCCTTCCCAGTAATTTTACATTATTAGATAAAGAAAAAACTTGATTCCTGAAATTTCAGAAAAAGAAAACAAATATTAACCATTTCTTAATATTATTCAGCATCAAAAAAGATGCTATTGAACAAGGCCATTACAACACTTGATAGTCAAATTTTACCACAATCCTGCAATTTCCTAATAATTTTTCACTTAAGTATGAAACGTAAATTATTTTTTTAAAAGTTGATTTTATTTGAGTTGATTTTTTAATGAAGTTTAAATAAATTTCATAAAAGTAAATATACAGAAAAAAAGCATGTGGTTTCAGTTAGCTTGTAAAACACTGATTCGTCTACCCCACATGATAATCTTAATAGTGGTAACATGGGATAAAAATCAGAGATAAGTAATTCTTAAAGAATGTGCAACTCATTTCCACTTCCTCAAAGTAATTCATTTTTGAATAAAAAGAGAGTAAATTCAGTAATTTCTAAAAGTTATAAAAATATATTCCCCAAAAATATTTTTTTTATAGAGATGAAAATTCGTATAAAAACTCTTCAATATTTTTAAATATGCTAATGATTTTGCATTGTTTTCATTTGTACTGTTCTTATTTGGTCACATACCTATTTGAAAAATCAACAAGTTTCATTTGGTAAATAACTGCAATAAAATTTGTTGCTTTCCACTTTAGTCTATTTGTTCTTTATCTTAAGTTACCTTTTAAGTATTTTAACATAAAAAGCTTACCAATTTTGTGTCCATTAAAATATTTTCGTGTTTCCCTAAAAGGAGGATCTTCCAGAGACGGTTCTTTTTTTGGTCGTTTACGTTGACGGTTCAGTTTTCTTTCAAAAATAAATTCATCAGGATTTTCTGTTGTGCCATAGATTACAAGATTCCAATCTTTCAATCCTGCACGTCCTACATTAAGCAGAAAGAAATTTTAAAATGTTACATTTAAATTGGAAAAAAATATTAAACAAAAAGGTTTTTTTTTTTTAAATCTAAAAATAATTATTTATCTGCAAGGCTTTAACAAAAGACATGCCTACTAGAGATGAGCTTGGCTCGCTTTCGGAGGTCCCCATCTGATCAAGCCCAAAAACTTATTATCCGAGCCCACCCGATCCTGAGGTGGACCAAAAATACATCAGATAAAGGCCAAATTTTATGGTCTTATAGCTTGGACTTTCATGTCTAAACAAGGGAATTAGTAAATTAAAAACTTTTTATCTCTAACCTGTGAAAGAAAAAGTAAACCAACTAAAACTCCAAGATGACTAAAACAACAATTAAAAAAAAAGAGTTCAAAATCTTAAGCTAAATAAAAGTCATTTGGCAATAAGCACCAACCTCACAAAGCTAAAGCACCAAACAAAAATAGCAGACACCTGTAAACTTTTATACTTTATAAATTTTACATTTTTTATACTCGATAAACAAAAAATAAGTTTATTCAAAAGTAGTAAAAAAGTTTATGAAAAGTTTATCATAAATCTGAGCCCACAAGAACTTGAAAACTTTCTTCAGTAAACAATCTTGAGCCTGTGTCCTACCAAGGCTCAGTCTGAGATCATCTCATCCCTAATGACTTTCCCACTTAACAGAAGAAATTATAGAGGTTTTAATGCTTATTGGATGCACAACAAAATATAGGTATGCAAGGGAAGTTTTTCCTTACAGGGATTTTGTTATAGATAGTTTTTTTTAATAGAGTTTTCGACGGGACACATTTTTGTTTTTATATGTTAGTAACGTTTAAATGGGATAAGTAAACATTTCCAATAATTGTTCATTGTTTATGAACTTTTATCAAAAACTTATTTTTTTCTATAAAATTATACTTTCGGAAATTACAAATGCTTAAATAACATGTTTAGTAGATTTGCAAGTTTTTGTATAACAATTTTCTCTGAGAAAAAAAGAACTTTTAAATGCAAAAACTGCCTTTAAAATAAATTAGTCATATTTTTGATAAAAAATAGGGATATAAATTTTTTTTTTTTTCAAAAGAGTTTGAAGGTGACACATAACTTAGAGGGTCTTCCTAAATACTAGATAGTATTGAGACCTATAAACTAAAGGAGTTCAGAAGATGGCAAGAGATAAACTAAGGAGACTCCCTAAAAATAGAGTGGGTTATGACATGCTAGGATTATGTAATAATATGCTTTCAGAAAAGTCATAAATTTCACTGCTCTTACAATGCTATTGTATTGAATAACAGTCATTTCTAAGATAAACATACCTCCAGTTCGTCCATCATTAGAAACTTCTAACTTCCACAAGCCATTGGGATTTTCTCCCCACATATGTACACTCATAAAAGGCCAGTTGTTAAATCCCCCTCTAGTTGTATCAGGAGGACGTTGAGCCAACAACATGGATCTATAAAAACATCATTACTCATATTATATAAATATATATATTTATAGTAAATTTATACTCAGTTAATAAACTAAACTGTTAGTTTGAATGAGACTAAAACGCAAAATTATCTCTGGTACTCAAAGAATTAGAAAACTTTTGAATATTTTTCTGTTTTTAAAAGTCAATTTGTACAGAGTGTTTCTAAGGTTTTAGTCATGAGATAAATTGTGAAAGGTGATAGAGTTTACAAAAACGAAATTATTTTTGCCTCTTTGTAACTATGTTCATTGCCATAACTATCACAAAATGCATCTTTGCAACTATGTTCATTGACACCACTATCACAAAGTGCTTCTTTACAACAATGTTTATAATAAAGCACATGCTCAGTAGAGTAGAAAGAGTGATTGGTGAACAGTTCTAAAGGTCCCAGATATGCCTGGAGTTGCAACAGATAGTCAAGCAATGAGGAATTAAAACCAAGAAGCTCGGAATAAAAATAGCAGTCTAAATTATATACTCCCATATTTCCATCTTCAAAATTTGTCTTAAAAAAGACAAATTATGAAGATGGAAATATGGGAGTGTTGGCATATAACTATTCATTTGATACTATACAGCATATGAAATATAGATGGCAAGAGTATGCTGCCATACACTTTCGCAAAAATCAAGATTAGTTGGGACCAGTAGTTTTTATTGCGTTAAAAATAATTTAACTGATCTTTCATAAATAAAAGCTTCTAGTTACTTCCATAAGAATTAATTGATGTACAATAAATATGACAATAATTAAACATCAAATCAGTTCAACAAACTGACAACCAGGTGATAGTAGATAACCACTTTAAAATTTAATAGTGCACCATTATGCAAAAAGTACATCTGGTAATGAATGAATAAAAAAGATCTTGCAGAAATTATTATATAAATAAGCAAAGTTTTTCTTTTCAATCTTCATTTCTCTAAACATTTTAGACTATGTATATTTATATAAAAAAAACTACGTTTTAATAGGCTACAGCAGTCCTATAACAGTCGAATCATCTTAAGTGAAAGAAAAGTTATACTGTGAAAAGTAAGAATAATTCATTCAAATTCTAGTTAGATAAACAATATTATGTATTTTCTTAACATAGTACTTATAATACATATCAGCTATCTTCAAAGAAATTAATAAATATAACTGCAGTTATGCAAATCAAACATTTTAAATTTGAACTAATTAGTATAAAACAGGACTACCTCATATATAATTACTATCGAATTACTAATTACCTTGTGCCCATAGGAGACGTGACATATATGTGCAGTTCACCTCGCCTGGACGCAGTGACTGTTATTCTAGCCTGAACATGTTCTATGTATCTAACTTGAGAGCAATTTGCAGATAGATAAGCTTCCACTTTACTTCGAGGATGAATATGTCTAAAAAAAATTACAATTATTAATAAATATTTCAATAAAAAACAGGAAAAAAATCTTAAATTATGTGTGTATTTTAATTAACATATGAGTAATCCAAAGAATACTTTAAAGGAAGAGAATTTTTTAATGTTCTTTTAGGTACAAAAAGGACGAGAATTTTTTAATGTGCTTTTAGGTACAAAAAGGTTGAGAACTCCTACATTTCAATATCTGCTATGTCTCTACAGAAGAGTTATAAGTTGCTTCCTATACAAGTAATATTATCAACTTTTTGTTAATTAAAAGAAATCTCTTTTAAATTTAAAGACATTATTAACATTTTTTTTTAAAAATCAAATATAGTGTTTCAATTTTTAAAAAAATATGAAACATGAATGATAAGTATAACACTTAACTCAAACTAAACTTTAGGGGGGGGAATGCTACATTCCATCAAAAAAGTTCTTTTTTTTTTCTCTTTTAAACTATGGCAAGAGTTAAAGATTCTCCATATTCCAGATTTCTAATTTTGTTTCCTTGAAAGCATATTACATAGTTCTAAATAATGTAATTCTCATAACATTATTGAATTATTAAAATTACACACACTTAAATAATACAAAATATTATATGCTTCAAGTCTAATTTTACACAATTGCATCTCCTTCCATTTAGTTTAATAATGATTTTAAAAAAATTTCAAATAATTATAAAATTAAATGTAAGAAAAATATTAAATAATTAATAAAAACTACTTTTTGTAAGGAACTATCTTTGATCTATAACTGTGTGGAAAGTTTTGTTGAGTTACTTAAATAATTTGAGGGACGAAGTAAACTATGTTGAAAAGTAATTATGTGGCACAAATTTTTGAACTCTCTGTTCTCACTAAACCTAGGACCATTTTTACCAGATAGCAACTATCCTTGTCCATATTTTAAAGCTCAAAATTGTAAATATGCATAAAAAAAAAGAAAGAAACGATAGTTAATTATAATTTAATTAAATAAGACTTTTGGTTCAAATTCCCAAAAAGACAGAAATGTTTTTAGTTCACATAAGATATTTTAAATAAGAATAATATACGCTAGCAACAATTTGTGATGAGTTCTGACGGTCTGTGACCTAAACTTTTGAAAAAACTGAGAAATTTTAGGCATATTTTCAATTTTATTGCATTATAACATCTAAATTCTACACAAAGTTTTATTGGTTTCCCCCCCCCCCTAAAATGCCATAAAATTTTAAATTGTAGAAAGACAAAGAAAAATAATAAGTGCGAAATAATTATGAATATCTATAAAGAAAATTGTCATATTTATATAACACTGAATTGTGATTTACTTTATGAATAAATAGATTTTTTTTTATAATGAAACATATAAAGTTAGCATTTAATGCATAAACTTTATGATGCACTTGAGAAAATATTAACAATGTCAAATTTCTATTTGAAAAAATATTCTTTTAAAAAGGGGTAATCTTCTTTCTACCATGATTTTAATACAAAATGTATTTCTATGATGAAAATCAAAATAAGGTTTTTATATTTTGATTAGATCTTTGAAATGTTTATCGGGTTATCTGTAAACATAGTGAGAACCATAGTTTAACGGAATTGCAAAACAGAATCTGTTGTTATTATTATTTGTCTGTTTAATTTTTATTGTGGGGAGTGTTTAAAGAGGCATGAATTTAAGTCACATTATAAGATAAGTCAGTAAAACCATTATCATAATTATGTGCTAAAACTGTTCTTACTCCTGGTTTTTATATCATGTCTTTAAAGAAAACAAAATCTCATTAAAATTTACTCTGGTTTTTTTCTTATTGCTGTGCCTTTCTTTGAGACTTTATTAAGTGATAATCAAAGAATACATAGGTGTTTTCTTTAAATATGTTATAATATTATATTCTTTTTTTTAAAATAGTACCTATATTTGAAACCTTAATATTTTCCTTCAAACATTAGACGAAGCAAAACAAACGTTTTAGAATTTAAGTATTAGAGTATATTTTTATAAGTATTAGTGTAGAAAAACAGTCCCATTACACATATTGAAATTCTATACTCTTCTGCCACCGACTACCTCAGTTTTCCTTTATAAAACACAGAGAGCCAAATTAAACAGTCAAATAACATAGCAATATAATTTGTCAAAAAATTGCAGAAAAACAGTGTTACAACTGGTTTTGAACTTTGTTTGTACCTATGTGTAGAATTTAGCAAAATTTAAAAATTAAGTTCTCCTTGGCAGCACAATATGACACTCAGTAACCTTCATATGTTTTATTTGGAGGGATAGTTTTAGGCTAAAAACATTTAAAAATAAGTGTAACACTTTTTTTCAACCAAAGAGAAAAAGTTTGCTCACTTATGACCACTGATTCTGATTAAACTGTTTGATCAAACTTAATGTGCAAGGATATCATCCTTAGCAAAATTATATGCTCTTTCATTTTTGTGTATACAAAATTTTGTGTAAGATCTAGATGCTGTAAAGAAATAACCAGAAAAAAAATGCTTAAAACTTTGCAGATATCTGGCTCTCAAAAGTTTAGCTTACATCAAAAACCATCAAAGACTCGTATTATTCTTATTTGAGATGCCCTATGAGAAATAAAATCCTTTTCAGCTTTCTGAGTATACATTAGAGGCACAGCATTTTTTCAGATCTAATTTAACTGGGTTATCTGAAGAAGTAGATTTACCTGTCTTATTTCATAACTTAAAATTCAATAAAAACTTAAGAAATGCATATTGAAGGTTTCCCCCTTAAATTATTAAGATTTCATGTTTTCTTCTCAGAAAATCTGATTATTAGATTATTTTTTAAGAGATTCAGAGTCTTTTTTATATGAACAAATACAAATCATAAACCAACATATATAAATCATAAACTGGTACACACTGGTTTAGATTGCGTCCTCGTATTTCACAAATCTTTTGCTCAGGAACAGTCATCCACATCCGAGCCAATCCAACCATAGCTCCAGCATCCATCATTCCATATCCAAATGAGTGACTCACTACAAATAATATAAATACTTTAAAATTAAATAAAATTGACTATTTTGAATATATTATTCATTTTAATTCTGAAACAAACTGAAAAGATAAGTCAGAAAGTATATTGTCCAGCAGTGCATTATGTCACTCGGTTAAATGCATATTTAAGCACACAGTCTCCTAAAGATCTAATGGTATAAATTTACAGTTCTGTGGTTACATTAAAATTTTGGTTTTGGAAAGGCTTATTTATATATTTTAGTCTTGAGCAATTCTGAAAACAAAATCTAACAAAAAATCACAAATTGTTTTTTTTTTTTACTGGAATCAAACTTATGTTTTTAATGTGTCATTATACTAAATAATTATTGAGAATGAATTGCTTACTACCGTTCGACAACTTGAATTACAAAAATTAGTCTTCTTTTTTTTAAAATTTAATTTTTAATTTGCAAACAGAATCAACAGAGAATTAGTTACAAATTCCTCTTTCTGTTTCAAATAGTTTAAATATTTTAAAAGTAACAAAGTATGCAATAAAAACAATGATTTTTACGGCAAAATAATTATATTTTGCTAAAATAATTACATAATATAATTATAATTTTTTTTTCATTAACTAGTTGATGAAAATGTAATGTATGAAATGTAACATGCATGAAAATGTAAGTAACAACATTTTATACAAATAGAAGGGGGTCAGTTAAGTTTAATCAAATTGAATGTAAGATTGGGTAAATAATGCAAGAGATTGTATGGTTTAAGGAATTTCCCAAAGACGGCTGTAGTAGGAGGAATTGCTTTAACCATGGAAAAGTTTCCGAAAAGCGTAGTTGATTTCTAGAAAATTAAAGGCTGAATCTAAAACCTTTGTTAACAGCAAAAACTACATGTAAAAACTAAAATTCCAATGAATTTTAAATTAATAGTGTAACTTGTAACTATTTTAACATCTGAGCAGAATGCTTTAATGTATAAAAAAATACTATTAGAAAAATACCAACAAAATTTTAAATTGTGTAAAAAATTTAAAATTTAAATGAAAAGCACTTTATGTAAAATTAATCAAAAAGATGGGACATAAGTACTTTCAAGGAGCAAATCAAAGCATTTTAAGTTACAATTTCAAAATAATAGGTCACAGTTAGCATAACAGTTTCAGAATAGTCTCTGCTTTTAGTATATATATAAATAATAATAAACCTTCAGAAACATCTGATCTTAAATGTTTGCAATTGATTATTTCTGAGTTAAAATTATTGAAAATCAGTACGGAATTGATTTAAAAAGAAAGCACTATTTTATTACAGAAATGTTTTTCAAAAAGAAATAAATATATTTTCACTGAGAGTTTCTAACTGTCTAACAAGTGTTTGGAACATTTTCAATGCTATAATTCTTTCACAGTTACTGTTATGCTAAGTAATGAGTATCTCAAATTGAAAAACTTAGTAGTATTTGAAGATAGATAAGCAACATCTTTGAATACAAATAGTTTATCAGATTTCGGAGCATGTGCTTGACATTAAGAATAAAACAAGAACTACTTTAAATAAGGCGTTTCTAACAGCAAAATATATGTTGTAAATAGTTTCTAGATGTTTCTGTACATTCTAAACTAGTTTTCTAAAATTTAAAAAAAAAATTGCTTAAAGATTTTTTTGACTAAATTCTACAATTTATTTAGAATAAGAAATAATAATAGAACAAATATGGTGCAATAATGAGACGAACAAAATATTACCATTTCTCCCAACACCATTAGTAACCCAATCACGAGCAAAAAGGTTTGATGGATTAGCCGTCCTCACAACAATGTGCTGCATATCACGCCATGTTAGTTTTGGGCTAAAAAGTAAATATGAGTGCATATTGAATAGAAATATAATATCAACAGAATTACATGATACTGAAACCTAACTTACTTTGCATCGAGTGTAAGTGCACATATACCAGCAGCAAGAGGTGCAGATGCAGATGTACCAGTATGAGTGGAAGTACAGCCATGATGCAAATCAGTTGTCACCTTGAAAGAAACAATTTAAATCTATAAACATACCAGCATTATAAGATAACATTATTACATATTTAATAAATATACACAAAGGATCTTCTTTGGAGAATCATTTAATCATATAAGAACCACCTAAAAAGTTCTGTAAATTGCTGAATATCTTACATGCAACGCTAGTTTAAAATGCAATTATGTGCATGCAAAAGAAAATCCCTCAGAGAAGAAAGTAAGAAGCTGATGAAGATGAGACTGCTGCAAGCTGTCTAATGGTGTTGTGTGAAAACTCAAGTCAAATTAAAATAGAGCAACTAATAAACATAAAGTTTTGTTAAAAAATAGGTAAAATGGCTGCAAGGAATTTAAATATTTCATGGTAGGTTACAAAAATTAAAGAGTAGATAATATCAGGAATGGTCAGAAATATGAAGGAAATCTGAGGAAAGAAAAAAATGATAAATAACTGATTGAGGAAGCGTGCCTATACTTGGGAACTGTGAGGATGACTTATAAAACTGTAGGAGATTGAAAAACTTGGAAATGGATGTATATAAGAGTAATGATGGGATATGAGAGTTAATTTTTAAATAGCATAAATTGCTGTAAACCTTCACAATGGCTTAATTCTGTTTTGTTTCAATAAAGTTTTAAATTTGCTTCACATTTAATGAATTTATCTGGATCATAAAATAGCACTAAGAAAATTTCTTAAACGGTTAGCTTCTGTTTTAACAATGTTATCAGAATTGCATATAGTGTTGGTTCAGGTGCACAAAATGCATGTCATAAACAGAAAATATGTTTAATAGGTCATACATTTCTTAAAGAAAAAATAAATCATTGATGATGAGTCATAATTGAAATGATTCTCAACAAAGGGATGATCCACAACAATGAGGGAGTGTCACAGATGCTGATGATGATCGGCAATAGAAATCAGAAAATTTGAGAATAAAATATGTTAGCATCATCATTCACAAAGATTTGAATGAAGACAAAATCTGTCACCATTTTATGCAACACTAATTGAAGACGTTGAGCAACAATGCTCCAATCAATTCAGGTCCTCACAGCACCCATTCCAATAGATTTACAAACAATGTCAAAAGTATATTGTGGTGGCTAGCTTGGTTAGCAGGGTGCTGGACTCACGCTTCTGAGAACGGGAGTTTGAATCCAGACTCCAAATGGCAACTGGTGCACGTTAAATCTGTTGGGTCACAAAGTCCTCCATGTTCCCATAACAAATCAATACCTCTGGGGGTTCTGAACTGGAGATTGGCCGCTCTCTGGTTCAGGTTAAAATTACGATTTGTGCATGTATGAATGGGTTCACCATATAAATGGGTGTGGCAGAAGTCAAATTCTTGGTCATAGATGGCGCCACTGGAAAAACAAGAACATTGGCATTCCCTCTGCCTTAATGGCCAACAACAACTAATGTTGCTTTGAAAGTGAATAAAGATATTTTGTTCCCATTTTTTGTTTTACACTTTAATTCACTGAACTTAATAGATGCAGCTTGTATCATAATATTAGTTGATAAGAGCAAAAGTAACACACGTTCCTATTGGTACCCCACCTTTACTCAATTTTTCAACTTTCAGCTTTTAAGTGGAACTAGTTGCTTCTTTAGTTTTTCTCCGTTTTATTTGGGGAGAAAAATTCAATGCATTGGAAAATTATAATTTTTTTTTTTAATTTGTTAATAGTTGCAGTATACAAAAGTCAAAAAGAAATTTAATACAAAATATATTAACTAAATTTAATCACATAATTACATACAATATATTTAATTAAATACAATATATCAGAAGTTGACAAAACGCTAGGTGAAATGAGTTCATTTAAAATTAAGCATCAACGAAATTAATGTTGATGAAATTTGTTCTTATAAGAACAAATTAAAATTGAATATTTGAAAAATTTATCATAGAAAATATAGGTTATACTATGTAATACTTTCAATTATGCAATTAATGATAATTCTTTGCACACTAAAGACTTTCTAATCTTGGGTTTTAACATCTAAAATAACATAAATGCTTAGGAGAAGATAAACTCACCACTTGTTTTTCACCAGAGGATCCACTGCTATATGTAGTGGCAAGAGTGGAAGAGCACGCCTCACTATACCAAGGCACCAGACCATGCTCAGTAGCACTACTAATGGACAGAGTATAAATGGAATTTGTATAACCATCACAGTTACAGTTATCAAATTCTCTACCACCATTGCCAGATGCCCAAATGAAAATTGAGCCAAGTCCACCTCTACCCTAATGGGAAAAAATACAAGAGAATTAGGTGTAAAAAAGAGATCATTCAACAATTTAAAAGTAATAACTTTTGAGCTTTCAATAAAAAGCCAAAATTTTACATTTCATGCTGTTATGAACTAAATTTAACTTTGTGAGACAAAACAGCTTTTTTTTCTATTTCTGTAGCAGTTACATAATGTAATATGTCATTGAACTTCTGTGCTATATCTTGTTCTGTTCATTTTTTGACACATTGATTACAGTCATATAACGACTCCTATTCTCCAGATGAAAAAGAAGGTCATAACATGCAGTCTTTATATGGGCAGTGCACTAAATGACACTTAATATTTAATTATATCTAAAAATTACCAGTCTAGTTTTAAGAAAATTTGAATCAGAATTAGATAACTTTCAGAACATTTAATTATTGAATTAACATGCTTTTTTTTTTCAATGTTAACATAAAAAAACCTTTAACATAAAAAGTACTTTTTAAAATACTTTATAGGAGGAAATTATGCTTTAAATTGATGGCTATCAGCGTATCTGGATAGTAAAGCTGATTTGTGCATGAAATTGCTTACATTGTGACAGTCATGGCAATAAACATGAAATTACAGAGCCTTAACTTCCATGACTCCGGCCCACAACAGGGCACTGCGGAAATTATTAGGTGAAAATTTTATTTGAAATAATGATTTGATTTGAGCCAGACAATTTTTAAAGAAAACATAAATCAAGATAACTGCAAAGGACCTAATTATTTGTTACAAAACAAACCACAAAAAGGGACTAATATTTTTTTTTTTAAAAAGTGAATACAATTGTCAAACAAGAAAAGTAGGATTGATAAACTTAAGCATTCTTTGGAAAGAAATTTACACTAACTCTGAATGCATTCATTTAGACTAATAAATGCATAAGGCACTTCAGGCCAATTTGCACATGGCAGAACAATAACCAGCTTTGATTATCAAAACAATGTTACCTATATTTTCCTAACTTTTGTACCATAAATCTCGATCAGCTAGTCTAAGAATCTGTATCTTTTTCCATTCAAAGAAGTTTCAATATATTTCACACTTAATGTGCCACATACAAAGTGTCACATTTAATGTACATTATTAAAAGTAATGTGATTTAAATAACTTTTTTCAAACTTATTCTAAATCAAACTAAATATATTTCGGTCACAATATTAGAATAAACTGTACATTGTAGATGTTCTAATAGGTACAAAAATAATATTGCACATGTAATAGCAATTAGATCTTTACGTATTGGTAGTCATAAAGAAAGGGTCGTTTAATGAGGGTCATACTAAAGAACTCAGATTGGATTAAGATTGCTTTCTCTTAAAAAATAAATAAAATAACACTACATAATACCACTACTTACATTTTCAACTCCTTCTTGAAATGCTTGGAATGCTAAATCACTGGGTCCATCAACAGTTTTTCCATTGTCATCCGGACCCCAAGATGCACTATAAATATGAATATGTTGGGAATTATGACTCAGTGATCGAGCTTCCACCGCATCTGTAACATCGCCATCCAACATTCGGATTCCTAAAACAATTATTTCTTTGTTAATAGAACACTTGTAAACTGATTTCAAAATACAGAATTACGTTGAATAAAATAAAATTACTTAAATTTTAGAGTGAATCTTTAAAGTTTGCATATTTGTAGTTCAAAAACTGTCCATACAGTAGGCTCCTAACTATTTGGACTAATATGGTTGAAGGATAGGCCGAATAACAAAATAACCCGTTAAGACCAAGTTCCACTTGGTGCCCTTTCTCCCATTTACAAACAAAAAACATGTTACACATTTTAAGATAAATAAATAAGACAACGATAGTTAATGTTTATTAATAAATTACACAAATGAGAAAATATGACTAGGAAGAGCAAAAATGTACAAAAGAGTGCATTAGCATTCATCATTATTTCCTCTTTCTCTCTAATGACAAGTTTTACTACAAATCAGTTACAAATTACCTCATTTTTTACAAGGCTGGAAAGTATGAAGGACAAGCCAGGTAGTTGGGAGTCTACTGCATTTTGTTTCAAATATAGAATTACAATTTCACTGTTTCTTCCATGGAACTAAAAATATTTACATATTTGTATTATAAGTATTGTCTATATTTTGTCTAAAGCAAGCCAGGTGGCTGAGCCTTTAGTATACCTGACTGCAAAGCCAATGGTGGAGGGTTCAAACTCCACTATAGGCATTATTGTTTCTCTCTGTGTGTTGACCTCAGTTGTGTGATGTGTAAATAAATGAGCTGGTGGCAGTGTTGAGTGGGTAAAGCTGCTCATCTCTGTGACTTATGTTCACAGGTGCTCATCAGGTAAAATTAAATGAGCAACATTTTTGTCAAGTTCAGTGTGTGCCGTTAGAACAAAAAATATTTTGTTCCAAGTTAAGATCTATCCATTAGGACATAAAACTTAGTCTTAAAGATAAAAACTAATCTAATACTAGATTATTAACTCTAGCAAGTTTAAGAAGCATAACACTTATAACATTTCCTGAGCTTGTAAATGTCAGTTTTTATAAAAAGGTGTCGGCATATTTGTATTCCTAATCATGTCTATACTTTGTTTCAATTCATTCTAGCATAAACTTAATCTAATACTGAACCATAAACTCAAGCCAGTTTTGAAATGTTCTGTTTCTAACATACCAATTTGGTAAAGCTACTAAGCAATACAGCTCCTAATCTATAATTTGGTGAAAAGAAATAAAAGAAACCTAAAAATGCAGGAGACAAATTATTAGTTGCAGAATATCACTCATTAAAGTTTAGTTAAATGCTTATAGCTTACCACCAACACGAGCTCCATAAGCGATTCCTACAGAACATAGGCTATTATTCGCACTGGCAGCAACTTCTCCAGCACATCTTGTACCATGTCTAAAATAGATTTAAAAAAATGTTATTTCATAATGTAATGATCAGTAACTGCATTTTATTTGAGAAAACATTTTACACTATTATCCATCTAAATAAATCATTCGATAAATATGTAATAATTAATTTTTCTATGGTATTTCTTTTCTCACTTTTATTTACTTATTTATTTTTCACATGGATGTTGAGCCAGTTTTGCTGCAATAATTTTCAAAGTGAAAGCAAGATAGAAAAAAATTATATCTTAAAATTTAAAGAATATTGGCAACAAAACAACAAAATGTGTTGTTTGATCTAGTAAAAATTTGTCCAAAAAATCAATCAGTAAAAAATTAGCAAGAGTCAAAAAACATTTTGTTCAAAATGTAGCTATCATTCCAACAAAGCCAATCAACTTTCAGTGTCAATGTCTAGAACACAGTCTAGAATAAGTTTATTTAAATGAATTTAATGATTCACATTTAGCAGATAAGTCATTAGCCCAGATAATTGCAAAATGAAATAAATCTGAAATAAAATTTTGTAAGCAAAAAAAAAATATTTAAGAAGCAGATTTTTGGCATGGAATACACAAAGTTAAGCATAAATGAATGATGGGATTTTTAAATAATTAAATTTTTGAAACTACTACACACGTTACAATAAATGAATTACAAAATTAAAATTAAAGGAAAATATACCAATTTTTTTTTTCAGTTCAATATGTAATCCTTTTGTTAAGAAACAAATATCTAATCTGCAAATTAGTTTTCACACATTTTTCAGCTTTACACAGTCAGTACTTAATGTTGCAAAAAAGCATTTTTTATGTCCTAGCAGTGTTTTTGGCAACAATTTATGATCTCAGTATTAAATAGTGCTTAAGAGTGTGCTTGTTACAAGTGATTTAAATTTGATCACACAGCCATCAAGAGCCTTAATCTTGCGATAGTGAATTTCTTTTACGAAATTATATCAAATATTTGTAATTAAAAAACAATTTTTTTTTCTTCCTTAATTTCATTTACTATTTATTGTAATATGCGTAGCAGTTTCCAAAATAAATACAATGAAATAAAATGGCGCAATCTTCCTTCATCATGCAAACTAAAGGTAAGTTTTTTAAATTATATATATCCTAAAATGAATGTAATACCTGTTTGAATCTAGCTTATCGTATCGAGGTTGGGGATCAAAATCATGATCATTGATATCACAGCTAGCATCGGGATCCTAAAAAAGGAAATAAATCAGTGATAAATTTATTATCCATTTTAAATAGTAATTATTATCCAATATTGCTGCCTCCCACTTGCATCAGAATTCTACATTTATAATTTTTCCATTTAATTTCAGTTTTTTCAGTTTTTAATTATAAATCTAATTACATGTTTTAATAAGAAGCATCAAGATATGTGGAGGTTTTAGTAGTCATCATTAAATTAAAAAATACATCAATAGGCAACAGATTGGGCAAGTAACAGACCAGGCAAGACCAATAGAGGATTGGTATTTCCTTAATTCTCCACAAATATATAATCTAATATATATAATATTGCTTAATGTATAATAATAATTTAAATCATCAATATTCACACAAAGTTAATTTTACAACAATAACTAGACTGTTAAAATAATTTTTTAAACAAAGCATTTTACTTCGAAATTGAAATTATTGAATGGGTATAAAGTATTAGAGGCTCTAAAGTAATTGTTTATTACATTATTTCAGAAACATATAGTTTGCATTTTTTAATCTCAAGTTTTAGATTTCTTGATTAACAATTGAATCACTTGAAATATTTACTATTTTCATGACCTTTTAACATTAATAAAAATAAAGATCATTATAAATGCTCATAAAGAATTTTAAGACAGTAAGATAAAAAACTATTCTGAATTCATAACATTCTAAAATATAACATAGTTTTCATATAGAGAAGAAGAGGGAGAAAGACCCTCTTCTTTATAAATCCATTTTGACAATAAATACAAATTTAAGATATAAGACAGACACATTATATATGCCATCTTCATATTTGCATCATTTAATTTTGCATTTCTTTAAGAATGTTTCATTTTTTTACTCGATCATCGGTAATTAGTGTACAAGATAATTGATCTCAGAAACATTTAAAATTATTTTATTGCTTTACAAGGATTCTATTATTTTTAATCTCAAAATCTTTTTATAAAAGGAAAAACCATTTTAATGCTTTTTTTTCTTCATTTTAATTGTTTGAAACAATAATTTATTAAAAAAATCAAGTGATTATTTGTTTGATGTAAATTGTGAAACCCTGTTACAAAAAAAAAAAAAAATGAGATTGCAGCTTTTTTGAAACAGGCATCAATGAAACCAAATGATGAATAAATAGAAAAAAAAAATAGAATTCACTGAGATTTATAATTTTTCCATAGTTATGGAGTAATTTTTAGAACGGATTTAAAACTGAAATAAATACATAAAACAGAAGTAATTTCCTTAGTAAAATGAAATGATATAGCAACAATTTACTTTTTTAAACATTAAAATAATCTTCAGAATATTTAATTCACGTTAAAACTCATATAAGTGTAGGAAACTTTGCTTAAAAATTTATCGTTGAAAAGAAGTTCATACCTATGTAATAATTAAGTAAAAAGATATTTCGTAAAATGAAATCATGTGAATTAATTAGTGCTACTTGTAAAAATTAGGTTACATTTCCATTTTCAATAGAGAATCTAAAAAATATTCAAGGTTTCAAAATCAAAAAAGGATGAAAAAGATTTTTATGTTTAATAGATAAATTTTTTGTCAGAAATGTAAAATTGTAATGTACGCAAATTTGATAAAAAATAAATTAAATAAAATGTGCTTACATAATTGAAAACAAGATCGGGGTGATCTTTCTCCAAGCCATCATCCAGAATAGTGACCACTACACCTTTCCCAGTAGCACCTGTGGCCCATGCAGACTGCACATTCATATCAAATCCCCACCCTCTATTCTGCAAATAGAATAATTTCATTGTAAATTAATTAATTGTAAGAATTAATTAATTAATTAATTGAAGATAATTGTAAAAAAAATATAATAAACTGTTTTTTGTTTTTTTTTTTTTTTTTTTTTTATTANTTTTTTTTTTTTTTTGTTTCTTCTAATTTCAAAATTACTTTGTTTTCAGGCAGATCATTGCTTGTGTTGGTCACAAAGTATAAATATTTAGTTTAATGTTGAACATTTTGATTTTAAACTTTATGAATTAAAAAAAAATTCAACCAAATACTAGATAAAAAAAACATTTGTCATGGATAAAAGTTAGGATTCATCATTTTTTTAAACAAAAAACTACTTTGCACTTAATGGGGACTGAAAAGTATATTAAACGTTCATGCTTTCAAATTCAAAATAAAACCTGATAAAAATTTAAGCTATCTAAAATATACAGAAATGCTGAAGAAATGTTCATTTAAATGAACAAAAATTTACAATGTAAATATGGACATCAATATAAAATGTGTGATATAATTGCTATTTAAAAGTGCTAAATAACAACCTATATTTTCAAGAAATTGTTTTTAAAATATAAAATAAAAGTGGTTCCGGAAAGGTTTAAAAATCGAATTTATAAAAAATTCACAGACCTTTATTCCTTTAATACACACAATTAAAAAAAAATTCTAATACAATGTCAATTTATTCAATAAAAATCAATATAAATCCAATAATAATAACTATAAACCAAATAGCAAGAATATATTTACCAAATACCACATTTCAGGCCATTTTGGATCATTTAAATCAGCAGAACCTTTTAAATCTCTTTTGACCCTTTTCTTAATTACTTGTTGGCTATATGTTTTTACCTGTAAAAAAAAATAATAATAATAAAATTTATGTTACTTTTAAATGAAATCAAAAGAGAAAGTCAAAATTACATTGTTCATAATTGTGACTTAATAAAAAACTAATTACAGTAGGGAACCGATTATCCGGAATGATCGGGACCATCGCTATTCCGGATAACTGATTTTTCCGGTTTTCTGAATCACTACAAAAAGCCGTTTTTTTATTGTTAAACCCAACTAAAAATAATTTTTTTTGGAAATAATCTTAAAAAGAAGGAAAAACGATGAAGTAATATACTAATGATTATTTCCAAAATGATGGTAAGGTAAACATCTTTCAAAAAAGAAAGAAAAATCCTAAAATCTTATGAAGAAATGTTTTTTTTTTTTTAAATGACGGGAAAATTTATCGAATTTCGTTCCGGTTTTTTGGTTTTCCGGTTTTTTGGTCTTCCGGTTTTCTGATTTCCGAATAACGGGTTCTGTACTGCACAAACATTTACGCAAACTTAAATTATTGACACATTAATTATTAATTGACTCAAAAGCACGCATATGATCAAAACGATTCCTAGGAAGAACTGTTCAGTTATACTTACTTCACTTATATTTAACTGTTAACATAAAAACTATTCTTAATTTGAAATTAAGTGAATATCAACTTGTAGCATTCAAACTAATTTGTAATTTTTTTTCTGAAATTATATAATTGGCAATCCAGATTATTTTCATGCACAGGATGAACACAGTAGTATTTTTATTTTAGAAAAACAAACTGGGCTGCCTACTAATATTATATATTACTCATTTGGACTACGATGGTTATTGCTTATGCTTACATTTTTTGTTAATATTCTTAAATATTAAAATTAATGTTATTTCTTCGATAATTTTTAAAAAAAAAAAAATTCATTTTCTTTAATGTGCAAGAATCTAAATTAATATCTGATACAAAAAGAAACATTTCAAAGCCCTGATTTGTTATCACATTATACCTATTTTTGAATAACTTTTTCTTTTTAACATGGGTGATAAAAGCTGTCAATGTGTCTGGGTTGGACTAAAACTTTTCTTTTCATTATTTTTTCAAGTTTTTCTTATGCAGTTTTATTTAAATATGCAAGAATCCAAATTAATGTCTAGTACAGAAAAAAAAAAATCATGATTTTGGTTTGTTACCACACTGTATCTATTTTTCGGGAATTCTTTTCTTACCAACAACAGCAATAATAGCTGTCAATGTAATATTTGGGTTAGGCTTGTGTTCACAGAGATTAAAAAAGTGATGCAATGATCAAGAGAGTTTTGCCGTACATTAAAAAAATCAACATAAGCGAAGTAAAAAATTTTTCAAAATTATATTTTGTTTAATCAGTTTTTTGAAATTCTACTTTAAAGTTTATTAGCAAAAGAAGGAAAAAAGTTGTCAAATAATTTTTCTCGAAATCTATTAACAAGCACTTATGTTGTTTCTTCAATTGCAAGGCAGAGTAGGGGTAGCAAAGTTATTGCTGTAATACCTTCACTGATGTTCTTATTTAAGCGCAATTGCTTGGAATTGATATTGTTTTAAAGTTAAAGAATTATCCAGTTGTTTTGATCAATAATGGAGTTTCAAAAGTCAAATAAGAAACCATATGCATAAGCAAATTAATCATAGATGTATTTTTAAAGGTAATTGGGATTGCATATCATAAATTTTAATAGAATACACTACACTAATGGTTTCAAAGGTTAAAACATTACCTGGCAATTCCTTTTTAATTTATTACAAACTGCACAACTGTACAGATAAGCAAGGAATGTTCAGATCAATTTTGTGGGGATGAGTAGAATCTTTGTGTGCCGGGTGCAAGCCTGTCATTTTTAAAGGAGTTTTATTTTGAATTGTGATCCAGAAAGTTGTGTTGATGGTGGGAAAATATGAAGTACATTTAAAAAATATATATATTTAAAAGTGTATCATACCCTTGTATCACTTGATAAAAGTTCATGGTGAGGCAAACTTTTATGTAAGGATCTTTTCACAACTCTTTTATGATGCAAATGATAATAATCCCCAAATATCTAAAAGAAAATAAAAATAAAACATATACAATTTGAAAGATCAAAGTAGTTAGAAGTCTTGTGAGCACTAACTTGGAAGTTATACCAAGAAATCCTTTTTCAATGACACATATTATATAAATATTTATTTTTTAAAACTGAAAAGAAGTATAAATATCCATAATACATTTTTAAAGTTAATATGTCCACTTTTATTATTGCACAAGTTCCTTTATGTTTCTCAGAGTTATGATTGTGTGTTTGGTACTTAGGAGTAGTCAGGAACGTTCCAATGGTTTTAGAATAGCTTACATGAAGTAGTCTGATAAACAGTTCATACAGAAAACATGCAGTGTGAAGCAACAATTTTAACGGAAGTTGTAATTAAATTTTTGTTTTTAAATATAACATAAATAATCTTCAGCTTATTCATTCACAGTCATGATACTATACAGGGATCAAATTTTTTGTCCGCAAAATAATAACTTAATTAAAATACCACAGATAGACCGACATCAAGTAAGATTATGCAGGCTTCAAATTAACTAAGTTTTCCCTCTATATTAAAAAAAAAAAAAATCTGATATCAAAATGTTATTGATGTGCTCATTATCTTATGAATTATTTTAAGACAAATTTTAAAAAATTTTTTCACTGCATAGTTTAAATTAGCAAAAATAATTAATAGGAGAATTATGATGTAGCCATTTATTCTTATGCCTGAAAATATGCAAGTGCAACATGTCTCAATTTGTTTATGTTTGGAATTATTCAATAGTTTATGGTAAGGAATTTTCAATTTTTGTGAATGTAAAGGAAAAACTAATCCTTAAAAATTATGATTTTTGCTACATATTCTAGGCTATGTTATAGGATTGACAATGTTTGAGTTTCAAAATGGAAAGGAACCTGCTGTCCATTCCATTACTAATCAGCAGTAATTATTATACATGGTCAATTAAAATCAGCACAGTATTGACACTAAAAAGAATAAAATATGTACTAAATGAAGAATGCCTTGATGATACGAAACCAAAAGAAAAAGAGCAGTGGATCTTCGACAATGCTAATGCTGCGGCCTGAAAAATTTTGAGGAAAATCTTTGGATCTCTTCAAGAGAATAACGTATGGAGAATTCTTTACAACCACGAAATTTACAAAAAATATGACAAATTCGGTGGGACCGACATTGTGAGAACTATTAAAGCATCACGCATTAGGTGGCTGGGCCACCTCTTCAGAAATTCTGATGCCGTCCCTGCCAAAAAAGTGACTTTTTCCACAATTGAAGGGACGAGACGTAGGGGACGACCACCTACAAGATGGATAGACGACGTTGAAAAGGACCTCAAGCTGTTGGGAGTCAACCGATGGCGGGCCGTCGCACCGGACAGGGCCAGATGGAGGAAAATCTGCGAGTCAGCCTTGGCCTGTGAAAGGCTGTTGCGCTTATGAAGAAGAAGAATGCTGCGGCCTAGATGAAACTTTCCTAAACAGATGAAGAAAGTTTACAATTTGCTTATATGGACAATGCCAAAACTCGAAAAATTGATGCCAGCAACGAAATAAAAAGCATAGAAATGAAGGACAAAGAAAATATAAGTGACTACATAGCAAGAGTTGGTGGACTTATAAACAAAATGTGTCTGTCTAGGACTAGGAATTTCAAAAAGAGAGCTGGTTTACTATGCAGTAAGAGGATTAAGAAGAAAATTTACAAAAATTAGCGAAATCCTAAAAACAGAGAGAGAAAAGCAACTAGACAAAGTTCTCGAAATTCTGAGAGAGGAAGAGAGCATGTTAAAAACAAAAACAGAAAATATTTCACGAAAAAGTGAAGCATTCTACATAGAAACTGGAAATAAAAGTAACACGCCCAATTTCTGTTATATCTGCAAGAAGCCAAATCACATTGCGAAAAACAGTTATTTAAAAAATAAACCCCTTTCTACTAATTCTAACGATCATTTCTGTGTAATTATTTCCTTCGCAACTAATTATATATCACAATTTAACAAACATCATGAGAAAAAGTACTATATTTTTGTTAGAAAAGTTTTGCAATATGTAAATGGTTCAAAAGATAAAATTTTGTTTTATGATAAAGAATTTCGATTTTTAAACTGTAGTACAGATGCAAGTCTGGAAAACGGTGAAGAAGTTATAAAACCTTTTCAGGAAGAGTAATTATTTTAGGTAATTCCTTCATCATGTGGAAAAGCAAAAAACAAAGAATTGTTGGACTCTCAACTCGTGAAGCAGAACTATTTACTATAGCTGAAACAGCAAAATTTCATTAATGCTCCAACTGAAATTTATTCTGATAGACAAGCATCCATTGATCGGTTAAATAATGGTAAATCATCAAACAAAACTTGACATTAAATTTTAATATTTCATTTTGTTAGAGATAAGATTGATGATAAAATTTTAAAGATAATGTATCACCCCTTGGCAAAATTGTGGCCACATGGCGATATTGCAGCAGAACTTTAAAGAATTCTTGCAGAAAGATTTTTCTTTTCAGAAGTAAAAAAAATTGGTTTGCTTCTCTGCAGAAATTTACACATAAATTTTGAATCTCACATTTAAATAATCACTTTTTGAAGAGCTCAATTTAAGGCAACATCGTAAATCCATTATGTTTGTATTTTTAGCAGTTATTGACATTGATTTTAACATAGCTTTTAGATATTCCGATATATTTCAGGAGAGATGGTAAATTCGAATCGCGCATTCAATCATTTACTTTTTAAGGCAATGATCATTGCTTTTGATTTCCACATGCATATTTCTTTAAAACTCTGCATTTTTTATATGATGTTATTTATTACAACAATCAAATCTTGAAATGAAACATGCATTTGGGTAACTCTTTTCCGAAGAGTCTGATTCGCATGATCTGGTTGTAGATCTGTTTTTCAGTAATAAGTGCTTTGGATTTCATGATATTTAATTATTTTTTTAATGTAATAATGATTTACAAAATGCAATAAAGGAAAAAATTAGTGTGTCCCCTCCCCCCCAACAAAATGGGAGAATATCACCCATAATATTAGAATCAAAAATATTTTACATATTCAATTAACATACTAAAAAAATTACATTGTTATTTTGTTTTTCTAGACACAGCCTTTTTGTTCCCTTAAATTAGCAACATATATCTTTGTTATTATTGAAAGCGTCTTGCAGAAAAATATTATGGCTAGAAAGTTTCGTCGCAAAAAGCATGAAAAATTTTTACCACATCATAATATTGATGACAATATTTCAGATTTCTTATCAAGATGTTACATTTGATAAGTTAAAATTTGCTTCAGAAAAATTTTTATTTTAAAACTCATTTATGTGGATATGTGATTGTTTTTCCAAAAGTAAAACCCTTTTCGCACAAGGGGAGTGTAGTATTAAATGATTCTACAAAGGCTTTTTTAATGACGCCAGATGGCGCTCTATGTGTTTTTAATTGTATTTTGTATCTTGTTAATAAGTGTTACTTTGTCTTCAGTGCTCTTGGAGTAAACTTTATTACAAAATTAAATTTAAAATTTTGCTCAGCTTATAACTAATTATTGAGCTAATTAAATTATAAATTGCTGAAAAACCAAGTATCATTCAAAAATAAAAGTTTAATATTTTAACTTGTCCCAAAGAGAATTTCTTAATTAGAGAAAAAAATGTCTTTTGTAAGAAGTCATTTCTCTCACATTGTAACTTTTAAATTTAAAGGTAAATTAAGACATTAAAAGACTATATTGGATATAAATTTCAAAAAAATAAATAAATAAATAAAAAAAACAGAAAGATAATTTGCATGTTAAGATATATTTAACACCTAATTCATGTACATTCTAAAATTATTAAACGCTTTCGAAAAACTTTAAGGTAACAGTTTTTGTATTATTAAAAGTCAACAATTTTACTAATTTGCATACATGTCCAAGGTACTCAAATCCATGCTCTTTAGCCACTTGCTTTGCTATTTCAGGACCACCTAATACTTCAACTACGAATTGATGGGAGTAAACATGGAAGCATTCAATGAATTTTATGGCAATAGAAGAAAAGAAAAGCAAAGAGAGAGCTTCAATAAAATATCGCAGATCCATTTTCATTACGTTGGAATAAGATCGGACGAATAAAATTTAATAAATATTCCTTCATTGAATACTAATGTTTGTAAAACATTGTCTGGTACAATGTTGAGACAAGAGTTTCCAAAAAATATAAGCAGATCCCCTGACAAATATGTCAAGGCAAGATGACAGATTTAACAGATCTGTCATTTCAATCAAGATGACTAACACAAAAATAAAATGTGTATCATGATGTAAAGACACATTTTAAATTTTTTTAAAAACTAAAGTAAATAATTAAGGAATTCATTAATAAACAGCTATTGTTTGAAGTATCAAGGTTGATGGCTGTATTATAAACAAATTTATTAAACAACAAACAACTAAATTTTTTGAGTTTCACGTTTATGGCTGACTTAAGCTTATAGCTTACAAAGCTATAAGTAACGAGGGAAAAAAGAAACCGAACAGTGCAAAAAATAAATTACAGTAAATATTAATTATTTGTTTAATAATAGCCGGGAAAATGTTGAATTATAAGTTATACAATATTTTAAATCATTTTAAAGTTTGTAATTTTCATGGCAAAATACAAAATTTTAGCGAAATCAGGTGAATAATTCCTGAGAAATCAAATTTTAAAAAAAGCAAATTTTAAAATTCGATTTCTCAGAAACTGTTCGACCGATTTCTCTCAAATTTTGTATTTTGCTATGTAAAATTCGATACTTTAAAATGATGTAACAAATTGTTTACCTTACAATTCAACTATTATTAAATAAAATAATAATAAATATTTACTGAAATTTATTTTTTGCCTGGAATTATCGTTGGGTGAACAAATTTTATAATTGAGTGCAAACTTTGCTTAAGTTCTCCATGTATAGCGAATTACGGGAAAAGTAAAATTAGCATTAAAGGGGTCCAAATTAGGGATCGTTCTCCTGACCAAACTACTGGGACGATATTTCCCACATTGCCCTATGTTTAGTTAGTCAGAAATCCAAATTCGTCGAAAAAAAGGTATGTTTATTCAGAGAAAATACGTTTTCGTGTCTGTTTTCATAACTTAAAATATCGTTTACATTAATTAATCAGCATATTCGAATTCGAGGTCACCCCCTCAAACCAGTAAGATTTATTTCTAGTACATAAAAATCCGATACCTAAAAATTAGATCTAAAGTTATTCGCGGTTATTCATCCTTTTTTGGCGCACTGTATTTCAAAGTTTTGGCTGGAGTTATTTAAAATGAAGTCGTGATACATCAAGATAGGATGTAAAAAAAAATCGAAAAGATTTTGGGAAAAACTATTAAAACAAGAGGCCCGAACGAGGTGTGGAGATGAAAGGCAAATATCTTAATGCAGATAAAGAGTTAAATTACTATTAAATTTAATTTATTAAATTAATTTTTAAAATTGAATGACGATTTTCATATTATATATATATAGTTATCTTTAGCTCTTTATTTTTCATATCCGATCTTTATTCAATATTTTACAGGACATCAACCAAAAAAAACTCCTGCGTTGGCTGAAAGAAATATAATTACTTTCTGAGGGGACGAAATTACTTTCCGAGTAACCTAATAAATCATAGAATTTATAAATAGATTTTTGAAAATAAAAATCTCAATACAAGATAGAAAAATATTCCTTGTTATTTTAATTATTATGTCACTTTAACAAGTAAAATTCTCATTTATTTTTTCTTTTCAGATTTTACTGACTGACCACACGAATTGTATTTCTAATATTTAATTTTTTTGCAAGTACAGGTGGTTATTTCTCGAATTAATTTGTCCATTTCGTTGTAATTAACAAAATGTCCTTACATAGAACTGAAATAATTTTATATTTCGCTGACAAAATGTTCTTCGTTTTTGTGAAAATATCTTTTAAGAAAAAAGAAAAGGAAAAACGGATGAATTTAAAAGTACTTTTTTGGAGAGCAGAGAATAGAGTCTAATCTCGTTTAAAAAAAGAAAAAAAAAAGAAGATAAAAAAAAAAACGACAATTTTTAAGTGCTACCCCAAGCTGATCTAATATTTTTTTTTTTTCGAATTTTAAGAATTTTTAGACTGGTTACCTCAACTACTGGTCTATTGTGGTGGACAAAGACATCAATTTAGAGTTCCAAAATATTGCATTATTTTTAATGACGCATGTCATTAAAAATAATGCAATTTGACAATTGATGTAATTGCAATATGTAATGATGTAATTGATGCAAGAATGTAATTGACAACTTTCTCGTATTTAAGATTGTACAACTGCCGAAAAAAACAATTCTTCTTTTGTATTCAATAAGAGTTTTGAATCAAAAAAATTAACTAATTACACACGATACAGTTCAGTCCACATTAGTTACAAATGAGAGTTATTATTTATACACATTAGTTATATATTCGATTTAGCTTCGTAAAATACATGGAAAATATCCACACTATACCATACTCCTTTTTTTTTCTTCTTCCTTTTCTCCCTGTAAAAGTGTTTCTTCTCTGTAAAAAAACGAATATTACCAGGACTTTTCGCCCTTTTGTAAAATTGTAGTTCGTAGTAAAAAATTAAATTAGCACATTCTTATAGAATATTACAACACAGAATAATTATTAACGCAGAATCGTAATTATTTTTTTCCAATATTTTTTTATTTTAGTATTTTAAATAACGTTTTTCGTTTTCCTAAATATCATTTTTTATCTTGCAGAATATCGTTTTTTGTTAGGTTTAATATTTTCTTTTTCATGGTTATCTAAAAACACATAAAACCAATTATTGATCTATTGATTAAATTGAATATTGAGTGTTATGGGAAATACATCGGTATTTGCTGTACTGTGTGTGCATTGAACGTTAACGATGTGACATACTCAAGACGAAAAATCAAATGGCACTATAAACTACGCCTGATGCTAAAAATGGAACAAACGGGAGCTGATTTTTAAAGTTGCTATTTCTTACAAATTCAATTTTAATTTCTTTTATATTTTTCAATTTTTTACGACTTAACACGTCATTTATTCCATCACATAAATCACGTTAATGGAAAATGGTAAAGTTGAGATTTCAGCAATATTTTCATATTTGTGACATAAAGAGATTTCTCTGTGCCCGTTTTTTTTTTTCTTCTTTTTTTTGCATTTAGCGTTTTTGTTTTATTTTGTTTAAAATAAGTAAATAATCTTTGAGTTCATTTTTTGTCGAAATTCTGGTTCAAGCCAATTTAATTTAATTTAAACCAAATGTTTTTTTTTTTTTTTTTGCTTTTTTTTTAAATCCTTTTTCTTTCTTTTTTTTTAAAAAAAAAAATCTTTGTAAATGTTTATTTTTTATTATTTATATGAATAGGTTCAGTTTGAATGAAACCAAATCGAAAACAATAAATTTTATCATAAAAATTTTCCACTTATAAGTATAATGTGTGAATCTGTAATTTTTTCAATAAACATAAATACATATTGGGAGTACAAATAAGTTCGGTCCGTTTTTAAAAGATGTCTCTGGCTGTTATGAATATTTCATAGTGACAGCTGGTTTCGGTGGTTTAAGAGAGGGTTAGACATCTGTCAATAATATTCAGCTTACATCGTTTTGAGTTTCATACAAAAACCTTGTTTTTTACTTTGTTGAATATGTCAAATTTTGTGGTAACTAAGCAGCATTTGCGGGAGGTTTTATGTTTTTACTTTAATTGGAAGAAAAGTGCAGCTGAAGAGCATCGAATGCTTGTAGAAGTTTATAGTGACAATGCTCCAACTGATAAACATGTAGGGAATGGTTTTGACGTTTCAAGAAAGGTGAATGGTGTTGTATACTATGAGCTGCTACAACCTGACGATTCCATTGCGGGCGATCGGTATAGGCCACAATTGATTCGTTTGAGCCGTGCATTACGAGGAAAACGTCCGGAATATGAGCAAAGACATGACAAAGTTAATCTTCTGTATGAATAACGGTCAGCCTCATGTCGCAAAAAATTATTTGGAAAATTTCAGGTTGGATATTTTACCGCAGACGCCGTATTCGCCAGACATTGCTCCTTCTGATTACTGGTTGTTCCGACGGATGCAGCGTGATTTGACAGGTCCCCGGTTCACTTCTTTCGCAGAAATCGAAAATTGGCTCCTAATTTGGATCACCTCAAAAGACGAGACATTTTTTTCGAGATGTAGTTCGAAACTTGCCTGAGAGGTGGGAAAAAGTAGTAGCCAACGATGGACAATACTTTAATCTGTTCATTCATTTTATTCGGAAATAAATGCATTTTTGACCACAAAAAAGGAAAAAAAAACCGACAGAACTAATTTGTACTCCCAATACTTTTTTAATGTTTAGATATCTTAGTTTTCCTCTAAAAATAAATTGATGTGAGCAAAATGTTCTAAAAATACTTAATTTTAAAAAAAAAGAAAAAAAAAAATCATCAACAAATTCATTTTCTGATTACTTTTAAGAATAGTTAAATAGTGTAACTAATGAACAAGTTGAAGTAAAGAGTCAGAATTTGCTTTTTTATTTTATTAAAAACACTTTATTCTTGTTACAATCAAGAGCATAAATGGAAATGTCTAAGCTTTACGCTTATCTTTTTTGGTTCTTTTTACGATTTTTTTTCTTCTTCTGTTATTAGTGTAGAAAAAACTGTATTACGCTACGATTTTATTCATTTCTGTAATATTTTCGAAATAAGTTACTTTGTATTAAAAACAAATCTAACAAAAAATATAAAGAATTTATTTGCGATATTTATATTGCATTTCATTTTATTCAAAGCTGCATTATGTTAATAAGCAAATACCGGCCTCGTAATCGGTTAAAGAAAAAAAGCATGCCATCTTTCGGCACAGTGCATATGTACTAGTTTTTATTTTACTTTATAACCGTCATTGAACAGCCGACCCATTTTTTTGGGGTTTACGACTACTAATGTTCAATTCTGTAGCCTTGTAATTTTAAACCCAATCCAGAAGGCAAGGGTACTCATGGATCAAATATAGGGTGAAATTTGCCTTCGTGAAGAACTTTCTGAGGGAAATAACCCACATTTGCGTTGCATGTAGAGGAAAACCCCGAAAACCTCTCACGATTAGCTTGACGGCAAAAGGACTCTAACCCATGGATATTTTAAGTGATGGGATATTTATACCACTATGGATATTTTAAGTCAGCACTGTGGATGGTGCACGCCGGATGTGGAATCGACCAGACATCGCTGGGATTCGAACCCAGTGCACCTCATTGGAAGGCAAACGCTCTATCCCCTGAGCCATTACGGCTCATGTGCCAGTTTACTTTTAAACAGTTTTACTTGCAACAACAAATTTAAAAAAAAAAGGAATAATTTTCACTATTTAAGCACAATATGGGGGCAAGCTTTATCGCCAAAAATATTAAACTATACTATTTTTAACTCTAGAATTACTTTATTCTTAAAAAAATAAAAAGTTTCAAGTATTTTTCCAGCAAAATTCCACTAATGGAACATTGAGTAACTCATAACAGTTTGAGATCAATAATTAGGAAGTTTTAATGGTACTGTTGCATTAAAAAATAATCAGTCTCAATTAGTTAAGATTCTTTGAAACCAATATTCACTTAAAATTTGCAATCGAGTTCATAGGTTCTTTTATAAAATATTTTAAAGTGGGTTTTCAATAATTTCAAAACGTAAACACAGTGTTTTAGCATTTGATTCAAAAGCAATATTCTGTCTAAGCTATTAATTAAAAAAAGAAGATATTAGATCAAAAATCTAAATCTTCGTTTATTCAAACCGATTATTTTAAGAACTGCATTAGTATTCGCAGAAAATGGGATGTGATGTTCTGAACGTACGCAAATAGAAAAGAATCAGGACAAAAAGCAAATAAAGGACAAATAATGGCAAAATATTTTTTTATCAGGAAAAATCAGTAATTTTAAGGTTACTACTAACTCCGATAATATTAAATTTAAGACACTTTTATTTTAAAATGGATGAAGAAAAGTAGTTTAAGCTTTATTTATTATTAAACAATAAATACTAAAACCTACTTTAATTATTTTGTACGCAACCCATTTCATTTTTGTAATTTTACATCATTCTATTATTTTTAAGTATTTTTTTTTTATCAAGTATTTATTATTAATATAGAATTTGTATCATATATTGCTTTAAATATATTAACATTTCTATTGATTCTATAGATTAAGAAAATAAATGTATATTTCATATAACTTAATTAAGTACTAATAATATAAACTGTATTCAGTTAAATAATAATATTAATTAAATAATACTGATATGTAGCATTTTTATAAAACAGGCACGAAAAGGTAGGTATAATCACTTTTCAACATATATTACTAAAATATAGTTTAAATGTTGAGTGCTTATTTGTATGTTAGGTGGAGCTGTGAAGTAATATAAAAAGGATATTTAGACTATTTACAGTTAATCCCTTTTTTTTTTTTTTTATTGTANCCTTTTTTTTTTTTTGTTATGGTAGCATATTTGACAAAAAAAGTGGATTTTTTTAAATTGTCTATTGAAAACATTAATAGTTAAATGCTACGAAATACTTTGGAATTATTTAATTAACTTTAATAAAGGCCTTAAAATTTCATTTAACACCTTCTTCATTAAACCGGTTTTTTTTTCTTTTAAATTCAACTTAGCTGAAAATAAAGGGATACTAAATTGAAGCAGAAATTGACACAAAAGTGGCAAATTCGATTCCATCTTATGAAATATTATTTTATATTTATCTAATAATTATATAGTATTTATTTAACACATTATTTCTCATGTATGCGTTAATTTTATAACAATCTATACATTTTTAATTAATATTTAATTTTTTCGTCTTTATTAAAAAAGTTGTTTTTATTTAAAAAATTTATAAAAAATATTTAATAAAACTTTTTTTTTTATTTGATAAATTAAAAACAATTGATTTCGTATTTGTAAATATCGTAAGAAACTGCATTAAAATTTTTTTTTTTTTTTTTTTTTTTTATCGGCGTTCGAAATGGGCTGCAGGTGGCGTATAGAGCAGAACTCTTTTCCTATGGCAACACTTCACATGCTTTCCCCATTAGCGTGTGGAAAGTCACCGAGGAGGGAGGTACGTTAGTTTCTCTCTTGATTTTCACGTAGATTAAAATCTTTTAACTTGAAAAACTATATGGAACTGAAAACTACTTTAAACATAGTTCTAAAGAAAAGTATCATAGAAATTTTAAAAAATATTTTTATTAAATAAAAAGGAAAAATATTAAGAAAAGGAAATTATCGTAGTACATTCCTATACAACTGAAAAGAGGAGGAGAGGGAAGGGAGAAGGGCTAAAGGCATGAAACCGGTCTCTCCCCAGATCTTAGATTAAGACCCAGACTTAATCATTAATAGATCTCTTTTCTTTAATTTTAAAAAAGAAAAATGTAATGCAGATGTTAATAAAATATGCGAAATTTGCTTATAGCTTTCAATTAATATTATTAGTTGAACAAAGGTCAAGTGTTAGTTTCGTCGTTATATTGAAATTAATTTGATCATTTAAAAAGAGAGTATTAAGATCAAAAGAAATAAGCAGTCGGATACGTATCAAACATAAAAATAAATAAAGCAAAAATTTTCTGACGTGTGTATCATCTGACATCTGAATTGCATATTATTATCTGACAGTGAAAAGCTAGGCCAAGTAAAGGCAAAACTTGCCAAACTTGATATTTATCAGTTTGTCACAATTAGCCCTCAAGTTTCGCCATGGGGAAATTTGCGCAATAAATGTGGTTGAAACAATTGTTGTGAGAGTGACGATCCAGTGATAATCTCTATCGAAATCGGGATGGTAGTATTGGTTAATGTGTTTTTGGGTCTGTAAGCTCTGTCTCGTGAGTTTTACTCAACAGAATAGATCTTGTGCGTTATAAGTGAAATTATCAATTGTGTTGATAATGAAGTAAATTGCTATAAGTCAGTGCATTTTAATTTATTTATATCTGAAATATTTTGACAAATTTCTAAGAAAATCAAAATTTCAAGATGCCTAATACGTTGTCAAAAATAGTTCAGAAAATATCTGATAAAACTTCATTTCCACCTGAAAAAATAAGCTTGTGCATGGTTAGTGCTGTTTGTTTCTTACACGCTTCTCGAGTTGGATTTCCATTGTTGTTGAAATCTATAAGAAGTATCAAAAATAGAGCTACAGAGGCTCAACAGAAAATATCATCTACAAGTCCTCAAAAAGGGACTCATGTTGATGATGAAATTATCGAAATTAGTACTGAAAGCACTGAAGATGCTAGTGTATATGATTTGAAAAATTTCCCAGCTTTCAATAAAGAATTTCTTCTACAATTAGGGAAACTAATTAAAATAATGATTCCCAGTATATGGAGCATTGAAGCTGCATTGCTAGTATTGCATACTTGCTCTTTAATTATGCGCACATTTTTGTCCATTTATGTCGCGAAGTTGGAAGGCCGTATAATAAAATTTATTGTTAGAAAAGATATTAACACTTTTACTTTACAACTTACCAAATGGCTTTTAATAGCTCTTCCAGCCACCTTTCTGAACAGTCTAATACGTTTTTTAGAAAGTCAGCTTGCTCTGGCCTTTCGTACGAAGCTCGTCCGATATGCGTATTCTTTATATTTTAAAAATCAAACTTATTACAGGGTAAGCAATTTAGATGGTCGTTTGGAAAATGCCGATCACTGTTTAACTGAAGATATTATTTCATTTTCTCAATCCATAGCTCATCTGTATTCTCACATCACGAAGCCTCTGTTGGATTTGATTATTATTAATTTAACATTGTTTCAAATGACTAGACATATGGGCTCGTTTGGAATGTCTGGTCAAGTATTTGCTGCTGCCGTTGTTTCACTTACTGGTCATATTTTGCGTAAAATTACACCAAAGTTTGGGAAGCTTGTTTCTGAGGAAGCTAAGCACAAAGGATATTTGCGCTATGTTCATTCTCGGCTAATTACTAATGCTGAAGAAATTGCTTTCTATGGAGGGCACAAGGTGGGTATTTTTTTAAAATCTAGTGTATGTATTAAACCCTATCAAATTCATAAATAATGTGTTAACAGCCCTAATAGTTAACTGTTATGTCCCTAATAGTTAACAGCAAACTATTAGGGAAACTGAAAATTTTGCCAAATGGTCTCAATTAAGAATCTTAGTGATAGTTTGAATATGGAAAATAAATCAGTTTTTTTTCTAGCTTATTTTAATTTATAAATGTTGTGTTGCAAATTTATTTAATTAGCTTTTATTTTTCACAATTAATACAGCACAAAAAGGTAAGAGAGAGAACTAAATAACGGTTCTACACCAAAGTTTTAACGGGGTATATAATAGTTATTTACTGATACTAAATGCCAATCAAGTAAGATAATTTTAATATAGCTGGGCATTGGACAATTATTGCTTACTATATGATATTAATGTTTACCGTAGCTAAGAATTGATATCATAAGTGGTATTGATACCCATTTTAGGAAAGCTAAAAATGAACAGTTGTAGTATTATATTTTCATCACGATAAATTAATACAAAACAATAAATAAAAATAATGCAAAGGCATTTTAGAGAATTACATACAATTTATGTAGTTAATTTAATCAATACTATAATACTGAACAGTAATGGTCTAAGCTGCTAGTCTCAATTGATTAATTTTAGCTCCTTCCATTCCATTCAGTTTTTTTCATTTCTTCCAGAGGAAACCTACTCTGATATTTGTACAATTTCAGAAAATGAATTAACATCATAGATTTAAATAGTGTAATTTTCTCAAAGTGAGAAAAAGGGAAAAATATTATTTCCTTTGGAACTTTATATCCACAAATGAAATTAAAATAATAGGGGAGAGTGGTTCACCTTGGGACACTTTTTATTTTCATTTTTTTTATTTTGATCAATTATTGTCAAAATTTTACCTGATATTCTTGTAACATTTGGTTGAAAACATTTTAAACTAGGTTTTGATTTTATATCTGTCATAGAAATAATTTTAAAAAATGTTTAGTTATCTTGTTATTTGTCCCAAGTTGTACCTCCTAGTGGGGCACCTTGGGACAGTTAAAAAATATGAAAAGTTAAGTAGAAATTTCCTAAAAATAGTATAACATAATTTAATTTTGTTAATAAAGTTTTACTTTGTTAGTTTCAACTTTTTGTATGCAAATACCAGAGCTCATTCTAGGCAGAAAAAAGGGCAGGGTGCAAACGTTTAAAAAAAGGGCATTATTATTCTAAAAGGGCAATAATTTCTTTCTATGGGCTTTTCATGTTCTATGAAAAAACATTGTCAATTAGTGAAAGAATTTTTTTTTATTTTACTAACAGTAGCAAAGCAATCATATTTACTCATTTTTATTAATAAATTAACATATATATCGAGTTATTGAGCTAATTAACTTAGTAATTTATTTAAAATGCTTGCATATATTAATAAAATAATAAATGTATGTTTTTAAGTGTCTAGTTATGATTTAATAATTAAATTGATTAATAATAACTATGATTTAATGATAGTGGAAGCAAGGGGGTGTGATGGCTATTTTTTCCCCCCATATAAATCTATGTATTGACAGCAATGGCAAACTAAATAAAAATAGTTTAAAATTTAAGAAATCCATTGTACAGATTGGAGAAAAAATAAAGAAGGATTGAGGAAAGAAAGGGTTTAGAGTCTATTAGATCAGGGGCAACAGGGTGGATTCTTTTGACTAAAAGGGCAACAGGGTGGATTCTTTTGACTAAAAGGGCAACAGGGTGCTGCGCCCTGTTTACCCTGCCTAGAATGTGCTCTGCAAATACAAATTATGCATATGTAGTGTCCCAAGGTGCACTATATAACTTAATAGGATAGTTTAAAATATACTTTTAGGCTTAGCATTTGAACAATTAAATTTCATAACTTCTAAAGGGAAAGCTTTGTACTTCATTATATTATCTTTTATTAAAAATAATTTCATTAAAATTTCTTTCTACAACTAATTAAACTTTTAAATGAAAGTAAGTAAACATGCTTCAAAAATAAAAATCTTAATAAATTATTATCTGCTTAATCAATAGAATTAAAATATATTCCAAGGTTAGGTGATGCTGACATATATCTGAATCTAAAAGAACTAAAAAATAATTTAAAATTTAAGACCAAAAATAAAAATGTCCCAAGGTATACTGTGTCCCAAGGTGAGCCACTCCTCTCTATATATGCCTAAACCCTGAAGAAATGAGAATTTTATCTTAAATACTTACCCAATTTTTAGATTGAAGAACTTCTCCAAAAGGTCTTAGTTCTTCTGCAGTTTTTCTCAGAATATGTTTGTTCTTAGAACATGTGTAATCTTTCTACCCAAATAATATCTATCTTACATTTACTGTTTTACTATGAATGAAAGAATGATAGGAATTATGTTTCAAGTTTTTTAGTCAAATAAAACACTTCTTGACCTAGAAATAAAAAAGGGGCTTTAAGTATGTATTGAAACAACACTAGAACAAGAAAAACTTTGGTATTCCAGCATGAAAGGATGTTTTTTGTACTTATCAGTGGTAACAGCTGCAAGTGAGGGAATAAGATTTCATTGGCTTAAAAATTACAAAAACAAAAAAAATTATTTTTTATAGTACTCATATTTGATGACTGTTAAAGATATCTTCTAACTATATGTTGAATAAATGACTGAAATATTCTTCATTTACTTCATTTTAGAAAATTTGTAGTGAATTATCCAAAAGTCAATATTTTTTGATGATATATTTATTATTACTATTATTGCTAATTTTATATTTAACTGATGTGACAAACCGCTCTCTAGCACTTTACTTATATCTTTCTGCAAGATACTTTTGATAATAACAATTATATATATATATATATTACTAATTTGAAGTAACAAAAGCATTGTGTTTAAAAAGAAAAGAAATCCTATTTGTATAAAAATGTAAAGTGTATCTATAAAGTGTATATATTTTTTTTATGGAATTTGTAATATTTTTTTATTCTTATTTTATAGGCAATATTCTTTGAAGGGAAAAAACACAAAAATTATTATTCTGTTTTCCGCATTTTGTAAATCATCACATTAAAAAAAAACTGATTAAAAATCGTGAAATCTGTTGCAGTGACTACCAGAAAAAGATTGATCATGAAATCACACGAATCAGCCTCTTTTAAAAGAGGTTACTCAACTGCGTGTTTTGTGTCGAGATTCGGTTGTTGTAATATACATCATATTAAAAATATCAAATTTTAAAAACCACATGAAAATCAATATCAATAACAGTCAAAAATACAAACAAAATACTACAGATTTACAATATTATTGGTGTATATTGTGATTTGCATCAGAAAGTGATTATTTAAATGCGCAATTCAAATTTTACATGCAGAAATAATATTAATATTGAAATAACCAGAATTTTAAAATCCCAGTTGGAAATCAGTAGCACTGGCAATAACTGCCGAAAAAAATGGTGAAATTGTCGCATTAAGAAAGTTCAATTATCAAATTTGCCAATTATTTGTGTGTAATAAAATTTTTAAAAAAATATTGATGTTTTTTTAAAAAAAATTTATTTGTAGCAATAACAATAAAAAAAAAACGGTTGAAGCACTGTACGGATCAACGATCGGGAGTGTTAAGGAGTGACTTCTTGATTCCAGGATTAGAACTTTGTGTGCTGTAATAATATCAGCATTTTTCAAAAAAAAAAAAAAAAATTCATGAAAATATCAAAATAACTATCTGAGCAATTAAAAACATCGAGATTTTATTACAAAAAAAGTAAAAATTTGTCAACGTAATTGCCGTAAAATAAAAGATCAAAGTATACATATATTTATGATGGAATTGGTAAGAGTTGTCAGAATGATTTAAAATTTTCATATGCGTAATAAAATTATTTGATAGATTCTTTTCAACCAAATTTATAAAAAAATTGTTTTTTGATTAATTATTTTTTTTGCTATGATTTGTTTTTTGATTAATTATTTTATTTGTTAAAAAATCCTTACTCACTGTCATATTTTATTAAAATATAATAGATGGAGTGCTTTAAAAAAAACGAAAGGGAAGACCATGATTTCTAAAATGAACTATCTTTTAAACTCTCGTTATTTTGGAATATATATATTTTTTTATATTATTCATTTGAAATTTTGCTGAAGCTAGTCATTATCAAATTTTTATTTCTCAAATGAGATAGAAAAATCACAAGCTTTTCTTTCTCCTTTGATGCATGAGAGAGGCATCTTTTAAATATACTTCGTCAGAAAGAAATCTTTCAAATTTTTGCAGATAAGAAAAGCAAAATTGTTTACTTCCCAAAAGAAAAATCTTTCTTCTCGAACTCAATAACATTCTGCATGCAACAATGTCGCCGCTATTCTGCCTTGATGTGAGTCGATAAGACTTTCATTATTTTAGAGTAACTTAAAAAAATTGGCATTGCATGCGACCCAAATATAGATGAAAAAACTTTGCTTTGTTATATATTCAGTTTGTGTTTTTATTTGAGAAAGACTGATTTTGTTTGATTTTATAATAATTAACTGTTAATGGTATATTTTACTGGCGTATAGGTAGAACTTTCATTACTTCAGAGGAGCTATAAAAAACTGGCCTCCCATATGAACCGAATATATAACAAGAAACTTTGGTATGTGATGTTTGAACAATTTTTATTGAAATATTGCTGGAGTGCTGCTGGCATGATCATAATTTCATTACCCATAATGATTGGTTCTCCTCAAACAGATGCAGGTAAATTGTTCTTTCTAAATTAACTTTTTTACTGTGCCTAAACTAATGTTTACAATAGCAAGAAAAGGTTTTACCTATTCCTAAAGTTGTTTCTGCGAAACATTGATTCATAAAAAATTCTTCTAGGAAAAAAAAAAATTTTTTTTCTTCATAAAAGATAAAAATCATTATTTTTTAAAATTCTTTTATGAGAAGTAATGCACAATGTGCTTTTTTGACGTTTTTGTGAAAATAAAAATTTTTACATTTTCTTCCAGGTCTTTTTTTTCTCTTGTTTTTTTATTTCTTATATTTTAAAAGTATGTTTAAATAAAACTTGAAATCATTTGTAGGGATATTTTCAAATCTTTTTAATAAACTTTTAATTTGTTCAAAAGAGGAATCAAAATAATGATAAAATTCACATTTCAGAATATTTACTTTGCACAAAATAAAATCATTACACCTTAATAATGTTTAATTTAGTGATTGCATTGCAACTTGCTAGCGTGCTATCTTAATGGTTAAGAATATACTTTACGTGAATGAGCTTATATTTATTTATTTATTTTTTTGTTGTTGGCAGTAAATTGTGAGAAAGAACGTTTTGTTTAGAATAATTAATTAAGAAAAAGATTTAGATAAAGAAATAACATAAAAAGATTAATTGAAGCTATTTATATTACATATATTAATCTGAAAGTGATTGTTTAGCTATACAAACTTTTCTTTTTCTTAATTTTCATCTTAAAAATTTTAATTGGCTGCTTTATTATTTGTATTTTTTATAGCTTTAACGATTTATCAAGATTTTTTAATGACTCTGACACACATGTCAATGATTTCCATAAAGTTTGCTGAATGTTCAACTGACAACCAATGTTTTCAGTTTGAGTCATTAAAATTCATTTTTTTAAATTATTTATATTTCATGTTTCCAAAATTATTTATTAATGTTCATTTATTTTAAGTACAATACAAAGTACATATTAACAGGACACAGCAGATCATCCTACTGTTTAATAATTTTTTAATTTAAATTAGTTTTTCTATTTAAGCTTATTGTCCAGTCCATTATTACATTATTATCTATAAATATTTTTAAATTTGTGTTGTGGTGATGAATTTTTAGCTGAGAATTTTTTCTTTTTGTTCCTGAAATAGATGACAATTATAGTGATGATGGCGTAAGTTCAAGAACAGAATACATGACTACAGCTAAAAATATTTTAATCTCTGCATCAGATGCTTCTCAAAGACTTTTCTCTTCATTCAAGGAGGTAATGAAATTCTATTCAAATTTCAAATATGATTTATTTTATTTATTTATTTTTTTGCAAGTCCACATCATGATTTTCGACAAAGTGGCGAGAAAATCTTCATCTATGCTAAGGGTAAACCAAAATGCTAATGGGTGTATATATATTAAGTTATTTTCTTATTCTTTTTTTAATCGTTATATGGTGCTTTATTTTCTTCAAAAAACATGGAGTTAATCCAAATGAGTTTTTCTGAGATGCACTGAGCATAGTTTCCTCTGTTATTTATGAAAATCAAAACCAACTTTTTTTGTTTTTAATTTTTAAGGTATGACCAATTTTTTAAAAACATTTTTTGGTTTTCATCTTTTTTTGCCATTTTGAGAAATTGTTGGCAATAGCAAGTATTATATTAATATTTTACTTGATAAAGTTTTTTTTTAATTAAAAGATCCTTGGGAAAGAGATAATAAATTGTGCATCATAGATCTGAAAATTTAAATTTCCAGTTAGTAGTCAGTTGCCGGTAGACTTTAACTTAGCAGCCACTTTTTTCCTCATCCTATTGAGTCGTTGAACCAATATTGATAGGTCCTTTTTATTTTCTAATCAATTTTTGCAAACTTTCTTTACTAGGATTAAATTATAGTTAAAAAAAATTAAAATTAAAAATGATCAGCAGATATTAAAAATTTATTAAACAAAATAATAAGAGAAATCTGTGATAAAATTTAGTTTGACATACTGAAGAGCTTTATGTAAATATATTTGGGTAGACAAAATTCATTTAATGTATACATTGCAATTTTGAAATTTGTGATTTGTTAAAGAACTCTCCTTTTACATGAATATTTCCATCACAAATTGATGAATTCTGTAGGATCAAAACTCTAAATGGAGGCATTGGACATTTTAATGAAAATTCTGTTTTCCAGAGTCTCTTTCTACATTGATGTAGTTTTATCATTAAATGATTTTTAAAAGAAGTCAATTATTTATGTAATTTAAGCTGCAACTTTTTTTGTTGACTCGTCACATCGTCCTTATTTTTAGGTCCTGTATATCCGGGCAAAACTTAATCTGATATGTTTATTGACGTTTTATGTCTTGGTGTTTTTTCGTGACTTCTAGAATGTATATAACAAAAAATACTTACGTGAAAGCGTAACATTAAAAATTAAAATAATTTGGTAACATTACATTATATGTTGACTAGTTTCACCTTAGATCTAAAATGTTTACATGTAAATGTCAACTTGATTTAACTTATTATAGGATTTAGATTACCATAAATTGAAGAATTAATTTTGTGATTTTTTTTATTCATTGCAGCCATTTTTATGAAGTATTGTGCTGATCAAACTTTTAGATTGAAAAGCATTCACGATTTGCTCTTTTTACAGTAGTCTAAATAAAGACCAACAAAAAGAAATGTATTGAAGTAATGCTAAAATAATCTTTAAGCAACTCCACTGAAAACTATGAGGAAAACTAATTAAAAAACTGAAATACATTCTTGTTCAAAACCAGAAGACCATCTCTACATATTATATTAGGCAAGACAGGCAACTATTACCAAATCAATCGGGCACTTCCTAAATGATACCTTTTATGATGCAACACTCTGCATGTTGTCAGACACTTAATGAGGTCACTTCCTGTATCAGACTTTGTTTATAAATATTTGAGAAGATCCTTGCTTGTCTGCATTCCCAATTTATACTTTAATAAAAACAAAACTACTCTTAAAAAAATATTGCCACCAAACAAAGAATGATTTATTTCCATAGTGGCTTGTTATACTGTCATGTTACTCAAATAAAGAAAGTCCATTCACAAAATTTTTGTGGGTTATAGGTGTCTCACAATGATAATAGTTCATATTTTGGATATTTTTTTCCTGTTTTTTGGAAAAAATACCAAGTTTATAAAATATTTGTAGGTTACCGAGAACAAAAATATATGCATGGAAACTTTTACAAACTTTTCAAGATTTAAAAAATAAATCACACCAGTTTTATTTATTATTGCCAATTTGGTATCATATATTGTAAACAAATGACTGAAATATTTTATAATAAGCTTGTTATACTATATCCTTACTCAAGATGAAAATTTATTTACTAAAAAATTCTGACTAATCATTGTCTCACAATATTAATTGTTTTAATTACTATAAATCAAAGTAATGCTGGTTACCATTTCTTTTCTTGTTGTGAGTGTCTGATTTGGAAATGGAAAACATTACTTTTGAAAGTCTAGTGACAAGAGAAAAAAAATTTTGTTTAATGGGTGTAATGCCTATTTAATATCTCAGGGCTGTATTAAGTTTTGTGTTACCTATAGTTTATCAGTTTTAGCATTTAGTTACTCACAACTCCATTGGTGGAAAAAATAATTTAACCAAACAGTAAACAAACATGACTGAATTATTGTTCTTCACTGAGTATACTATACTAGAAGATGAATGAAAACTAAACTTTGAGTTCTAAATTCAATTCCTTTCTCTAGAAGGGGCTCTCCAAAGGAGTATCCTCTAGGATAGGAGTTCCCTTTTTTTTTCATTTATGGAACCATAAATGATCATTCTACTTTTGATGGAACACTCAAACTTTATGAATTAAGTTCATTAGCAACCAATTAAAGGCTACAAATTATTTTGTAAATGTTTAATGTGTGGAATAAAATTATTTTATCATAAAGTTTTATCAATACTGGTCTTAAAATAAGGTTTCATGCCAGACAGTTCAATTCAAAGATCTGGAGCAGCACCTAGTTTAGTTTTGACTTTGATTTTGGCGTATGCATTAGCTGAATATGAATAAGATAAATTATGGCATGAAATGAAAAAAGATTACATGAATGTATATTCTTTTCTTTATTCATTCGATATATATTTATTAAAATATACCTTAAATTTTGATTTTCTTTTGCACCACTATCATTTCCCCCTGAATAATTTCATGAAAATAACAAAAATATAAAGTAAATAAAATATAATTGGGTGGATTTAAATTTAATTACTGGTTTTGAAAATCAGGAATAAATTTCTAATACTCCAAATCCCTGTGACCCTTCTTCAAAAAAAAAAAAAAACAGGTTTTGCAAAATACCTTTTGGGAACCTCTGCTTTTTGGAATTGTAAGATGTTGCTGACAATTTTAAATATGATCAAAATTATCTTTTTTCTTAATAGTTTTTAAAACTATATTTTTCTATAAATTCATTTAACTTTTATTTTGAATTAATTTTTCTATGTTTTTCTTTGCCAAGATAACTGAGTTGGCTGGGTATACTGCTCGAGTTTCTAGGATGATCAACGTATTTGAGGAAGTTTGTGAAGGACAGTATGAATTGTCTACTAATACTGAAATCTCTTCCAAGCTGAGTAAAAAGGTTACTGAAGTAAAGGGCTTGAAATTCAAAAATGGAATGCCTGAAATTTTAGGTTTGTTACTATTTTTTTTCTCATCCTAAAAGCTATTCTAAATTATGTAGATTAAGATTTGAGGCTCGTTGAGCTATCATTGAGATTTTAGTTTAAGGAACAAAAATTTAATGCTCTAAATTTTGTCCATTTTTCTGAAAAGATTTTCTACTTGTTTTTAGTGTGAGAATGCTTTCTACCAAGTAAGGAAGAATTTTTTTACATATGTTTTGATTTGTGGAACATGTAATTAAATTTTAAGGCAAAGTTTATAGCAAGGAAAGGGAGAAACATTAATTACTGTGATTAAGGTATTAATTAATTATAAATTTTAAACTGGTGTTTTTCAAGGAACATTTTTTTAAAAATCAGTATAATAAATCGTGTAATATTTTATGTGACAAATGTTTTTATTTCTTACCATATGAAACTAATGGAATATTTTATGAAATGTACTTATATTGATACAAAATGGGTAAATTGTTGCCATGTAATAGGGCTGAAAAAGGTGTTCTTTAATTAAAAAGACGTTTTGTTAATTTTTTAATCTGAATTGGCAGGCTTATATTTGCCTTCCTGTGGGGTACATCATACTCAGTTTTCTTGCATCAATAAATATGAGAGTCTTTTTGTTTTGCTTTATCTGCCCTTAAGTAGTTAAATTGTCCAGCAAGTAGTTGTCTAAAAGAAAAGACCCTTAGAAAAATTTGCATTACTCGTAATTCATGTTTTTTTTTTTTTACAAGGATGAGAGTTTAGCTTATTACTCAACATTGCTCTTTTCTGCAGGTTTAAGACAGGGCTGGTTCAATTATCTTTGGTGCCTAGGTGGAGTGGAAAATAATTTCTGTCTTACATAACAATACATTTATCCTGCTATCAATACATATGCTTGTAAGTAGGAAAACAGGCAATATAACTTGAGGTCGTTATATCTTAAGCGCACAATGCCTTAAATATTTAAAGAAAATTAAAAAAATATATTAAACTAATTTGGACAAAATAATCGTACATATAAAAGCTAACTGAATAATTGATGACCTAACTTATTTTTAATGCTAATCTATGTTAAAATACCATTTAAAATAGTGCATTAGTTGAAAAACTCGTTTAAATATTTTTCTGTTTCTGGGTAGCCATCATTCAATAAATAACGTATGCCTAAGTGAATGCGAAAACCACATAGTTTAACCAAAAAAGAAAAAAGACATATATTTCATAGAAAGAGAGAAAAGGATTCCAACAAGTAGGTAATTAATCAATTTGAATTTTCTGCTCTCTTTCTGTGACCCTTCTGAACAGTTGTATAAGTTTGCCTAACGGAAGATCCGCCCCTGGTTTAAGGCTGAAATAGGAATGAACAAACTCTATCTCTGGTAGAGTTAGCAAATTTATGACTATGTTTTTGCTTTAACTTCTAAAAATGTTTACAGTTTTATTTAACTTATTAAATTTTAAGAGAAATAATAAATCTCTTATCTCTGCGTACTAAATTCTGTTATTTTAATAATTTTGATTTAATAATAATTTTGATTGTATAATTTTGATTGTTTAATAATAATTTTGATAATGATAATAATTTTGATTTTTAGTTAAAATTTGACAAATAAAATTTGAAACCAATTGTTTTAGGACAAGTTGTGGAAAAAAATGGAATAATAAAGTTAGAATCTGTACCTATTGTGACACCTAACTGTGACATCGTTGTTCCTAGTTTATCATTTTTGGTAAGATTTCAATATTTTGTTTTTATATTTTGTTTTGTTTTGCTTTATATTTTGTTTAGTTTTGTTTTATATTTTGTTCAGTTTGAAAACTTATTTTATGTTAAGTTTTAAACATCAACTGTGTTTGTAATTTTTGTTTCACGTTTTGAATGGTTTTAGGAGTTTTAATTTATAATTGATACACTTTACAGATATAACTAAAATATTATTCAAAATAAATTATATGAATATGTTTGATACTCTATTGCTAATTAAATGGCTTTAGAGGAAAAATAATTTTATAGTAATGCATATGACAATGCTTGACTAAAAATTTTTAAAAACTGAATTTAAATATATCATTATTAATTACTGGAAAACAAGCTGAAATAAATTGCAAGTTTAATTTAATAAAACTTTTTTTTTTCCATTTAAAATGATAAAACGTTTTTTATATACAGTAACTTATATTTCCCATTTATTACTAAAGAAAGCCATTTCAAACTTGTATACATATTATTTTATATCTATATATTTGGATAATTTCTTTAAATATGATTTGAACTTTAGAAATGCATTAGCATTAATTAAATAGAATGTGATTTTGAAGATGTATGTATCTATAAAAAAATTCGTTGAGCTTTTATTACTCTCATACCATCTCATAATATAAAATGTTTTGTAAATTTTTAAATCAATCGTTAAAAAAAAAAAAAAAAAAAAAAAAAAAAAAAAAAAAAAANAAAAAAAAAAAAAAAAAAAAAAACACTTGATTTGAATCAACCAATCTTGACTATAATCAATTAAATTTTTCAGCTGTTTATCATCTCGTTAATATTGTGTTAAGATCTTTATTCACTATTTTTAATTAGAATAAAAGCTTCTACAGACTTTTTAAAGTGCTATAATCAAAGTTTAAGTCTTCCTGTACTATTTACTTATATTAATTTATTTGCTGCAGTTGCTTCTTTCTCCACAAACTTTATCCGCCTTTCCAATTGTAGAATATGCATACAGAAGACTCATTATTAAATGCTGCAATTTAAATACTCATTATTAAATGCTGCAATTTAAATACTCATTATTAAGTGCTGCAATTTAAATACTCATTGTTAAATGCTGCAATTGAAAAACAGAAGAATAAAGATTATCAGAGTCATACTGAATTAGAAAAATTATAAAGCTGAAGAACAAAACTACATAATGATAGTCCACAAAAATGATTATAAAGATGCCTTGTATTGTTGAAAGACAGAACATAGCTAAAAAATTATAAAATATATATAAATAAAAGAAAAGGAACTAAAATTGCAAAAGGGGAGATAAATAGAAAAATCATTATTAATATTTAACTCTTATTTAATTACAGCCTGTTTCAATTCTTTAAGGAAATATCTTTGACAGGGATATATAATATAATTGTTGTTTTTTAATATGCATATTTCCTTTTCACTAAATATTCGTAAAGTGATTTTTTGCGCTTACTTTAAACTCAGCATTCAATCCAATTTACTTAAAAGTCATTATTCCTCTTATTGTTTTTCTTTTTCTTTTTAAGTATCAATGATTTGAATGGTAATGAGTTTCCTTTAAAGAAACTTTAAATAAGTGCAAAACAAAGGGCCATTAAGATACAATACACATAACTTCTTTCCTTTTTATTGGAATAAAATAATTTTATTTCACTGTTATTGTCTGTAAGCTCTCTTTTTTTTTCTCCTAATGTATTTTTTTTTATTTATTTAAGTTTTGAAAACTATAAAGTTTTAAGTAGAAAATTTCATAACATAGAAAGATAAGAAAAAAAGCAAAAGTTGGGTATTAAAATGAAATTTAAATGCCAGATTATTTTTTATCTTTAACAATTTAAGGTAATTCTCAATTTTATTGAAAATGAAAACAAATATTTGAATCGTACAAAAGTTTTTCAATTTTGAACTTATATAGTTTTAAATTTTATTATCTCAAACTGACAAATCTACAGAAATATAATTAAAGCAATATAAAAAAAAATGCAAATACTAACTACAATTAAGCTATTCATACCAATTTCAATGTGTTTAAAGATAAAGATATTTTTTATCACTATAGATAAGTTTGAGTAAGTATAATCTTAATATTTTAATTAATTTTGTTTGGAATATTTTTAAATGTATTCTATTCTCTCATAATATGTCCTATAATTCAATATAAAATAATAGTTAATTGCTTTTTTTATTGTTTTTGAGAAATTTTTTCTACTGAAGATAAAGTAGAACATGAAAAACTTTAAATAAATCAAATGAATTCAGTCAATTTAGTAACTTGTCAATCAAGTTTTTTAGGGGATGGTAGGTAGATTTCTTTAAGAAATATTTAAAAATTCTGTTATTGGTGAGATTCCTTCTATTCAGATGTTTACTGTAATTTGGAACTTATTGAACTGTACAAAGGAAATAAATGTATGTGTCTAATAAAGTTGTTTAAGAAAAGATATATTTCTTATCCAGTCATCATAAAAATTTCATGTAATATTTTTAGATGACACCGGACATGCACGTCTTGATTACTGGTCCTAATGGTTGTGGAAAAAGTTCTTTATTCCGTATTATTAATGGCTTATGGCCAGTCTATTGTGGGAAACTTGAGAGACCTCCAGAAAGGGAAATGTTCTATATTCCTCAGAGGTAAGAAAACAAATGTCATTGTCTAAATTAATCTTTTCATTAAACCTCATATTTTTAAGACTTAACACCGTTTCAAAACAGAAATTTCGTTTTTAAGTTTTATTTAAGTTATATAATAATTTTCCCATTTTATGTGAGAAATCAACATATTTATTGCAGGAGATCTGCTTATGTGTCCTTTGACAGATATATTCGAATATATTTATATCATGATGACTATTAATTATAAGAAAATCAGGCAATTTTGAGAAAAGAGACATCTGTCTCATATATATATAAAATCACACTTGTTCAAGGAAACTTGAGGAGGGTGGTGAACTGCCATTATTTTATTATTATTTACAGCTTAAAAAGAATGTAACTTACAAAAATATTTTCTTTTTTTATGTAAAATAATTCATTATTTTACAAAGAAAACTATATTTAAGTAAAACCGTAAAAGAGGAAAGTTTTTTAATTTACTAAAGGACTAAAAAACTTTCACAAAAACAAAACTTTCCCAAAGCAAAAGCAATCCTAAATGCTTTTACTTATTATCTTATTTACTTATGAAAGATATTATCTACTGTTATAAAAGAAAAATTCTGTTTTTTTTCTATTATAAAAAATCTTTTTAAATTAATTTTGAGTAACTACATTGCAATCTCAATATTATGAAATTCTGTAATATGTAAAAAATTTCAAAGTATGTTTCATGAGATAAAGAAATAGAAGTTGTGCATTAAAATTAACGTTTAAACCTTTATTTTTCTTAAAATAATCATCAAATAAAAATAATTTGAATTTAGAATGTTCTTTAATGTATAATTACTTTTTGGTAAAGAAATGTTAAAATCCAAAAAGTCATTGCAGGAGGAAGTTAGGCTGAAACTTCTATACCAAAAAATTATCAAAAGGAAAAAAGTTGAAGGCGATTGTAAGCTTTATCAAGCAATCAAACAAGTCTTAGACTTTATCACCCTGCCTTTTTCACTGGTGATTTAAAAGATTCAATAGCATGCATTAGTTTAACACTTCACAAATAGGTTGTTTCTTTCCTTGGATCTCACTTTCTCTGCTTTTTCTGAGTCTGATAGTCTTTCCTTATTAAACCAATATTATTCATTAAATGCTGCCTTAAAAGAAAACACAAAATGTTTTGCAGACAACAAGTAAAAAGACGCATAAAAGTGTAATACAAAGAAATGTATTCAAAATTCTAGCAAAAATGTTTATTAACATATCCTGTCCATTAAGGGTATTAATTAAAAAAAATTTGCTACATTTTCCATCAAAAAAGATCAATCTCTCATAATTAGAAAGGCAACTCTTGTAAAATTGCAACTGAACTTTTTTTTTTATGAATATGTTTAATGTGTTACATCAAATAGGCAAAATTATTTTTTTTTGACAGCAGGATACAAAAACTAAATGCCAAATTGGGTTTAATATGAGTAAGGTAATATTGTTAGGTCTATTAGTATTCTAATTGAAAGTTAAATGTTTGTGTAGAGTAAAGTAAAATTAGCAAGAAATTACTTTTCCCTGAAAGTACTGAACTCATGGCCATAATTAAAAATTTAAAAACGAAATGGTTGCAATCAAGTTCGGGATTGCACTAAAATAGTTATGAATAAAAGAAAAGAATGACAAAACCCCCAAAAATTAATGAAATTTAAAAAAGAAATTACTTTCTAAGACAGCAGTATTTTTTCCCTCGACTGAAAAAAGGCTTTCTCTATTTTTTTTTATTGAAGAGACTTCATAAATTTTTTTTATCAATATTTAAAACCAGTCAGGGGCCAAGTCATACATTTTTGGGGCTAGTTTTGGCTTTCTGACTATTGGTTGTGCATCTGTGGTTGTAGCTTCAATAGTTGAAATGTTTTTTAAAGAACTATTTAGTATTTATGAACAAAGTAAAAATAATGTGTACAGAATTGATAACTGAATTGAATGTTGCGCTTTGAAGAAAAATAGAAAATCTAAATAAAACAATATTTCAAATGAAAATTAGTAAGTGAATGACCATTCAGTTAGCTGCTTGAAACATTATTTGTTCAATTGTTATTTAGATTCAAATCTTATTCCTTGATGCTATTAAACCTCATGAAATTTTTTAGTTGAGAAATTTAATTTGTCTACTTTTTCATCACAATAATTTTGCAGTGCTGGCATAAAAGTTCTGAAGCAGCAAATGAAATAGAATGGCTAAGATATTTAAATTACTTTTGTATAATATGGGTGCAATACCTAATTCATCATGTCTAATCTTTAATAATTTTAAGACTTAGAAACTAAAATTAGACATTTTTGTTTAAATCATATGATTGTGAAAAATTAAAAACAATAAAAACCTCTTTTTGATAAGACAAAAAAGTGGAATACCTGGGGATAATATTTACAATGAAACTTTGTTCAGAACTGATTGTGTTGCAATAACAATTAATTTATCTGCATTTGAACTTGCAACACAAAGAAAGAAAACTGACAAATATCTTGAAGGTTTCTTTTGACCTTATTAGTTACATTCAAAATCAAACATTTCACTCTTCCATTGAATTTATCAAGGTCAAGTTGTCAAATGTGAAGCCATTGTTTAAACCACTATGCTTATTAGGCCTTTTTTTTAATGATTGTTTCACAAAGAATTGGAAAAGATGACACTTAATAATGATAACAGATGGTTGTAATAAAACATTATAATCAACTATAGCAATTATTAACAAATATTTACCATAAATGACCTTGGCCTAGGTTATGGACTTGCTGCTTCCCATTAATCAATCTTTTATATATATATATATATATATATATATATATATTAATCTTTTATTTTTATTAGATTGTTTATTGTTTGAATTCTGCATAACCTTTGGAAAAAAATATTGCATAATTGAAAAGATTAATATAATTGATTTTGGAGATAAGTGATATTTTTTATTCGTATTTTAGTTTTTCAATATATGTAACATAGAAATCTTCAATTAATCTTTTTATGTTATTTCTTTTCTGAATATCCTTTTCTTTTATTTTATTATTCTAATCAAAACACTTTCTCACGCTTTTAAATTCACATCCTGTCCTTAAATATATTTTTGGCTCAAGTATGCGTTACTAATTAAAAGTAAGACATTTTTCCCTTTACTTTTTCTGGGAATCGTGCAACCTATTTAATAAGCCAATTGTAATTATTAATGTTTCCAGAGTTGGCCGTTGATTACAGTAATCGATTACAACTGTAATTGATTACAGATAATTACAGCTATGTAATCAATTACTTGTAATCACGATTACAAGTAATCAATTACTTGTAATCGTGATTACAACTTTCAAAAAATTTTGATTACAGCTGTAATCATGATTACAATTTTGATTACAGTAATCAATTACTTGTAATCATGATTACAAGTAAT